GTTGCCCAAGCAAAATTTTGCAAATTTTATTTGGTACAGCCTCTGGACTGGTACTTTTCGGGAATAGGGTTTCTTTGGGGTCAACCCTATTCCCTGACAGGTTGCCACCCCAGAGGTCACGCCTCGCAAAAGTTGCAACCGGCAAGTCAGAGGAATGATTGCGACTGGAAGCAAATTAACAAACAAAACCTAAAAAATTCGTGGGTTGTCCAAAATGTTCAAAACTCATCAAAAACAGCACTTCAGTGAGTTTCTGTGTTGAATACACTCCGGTGTTTCGCTCGCTGCGCTCGCACTTATTCACATTTTGGTAAGACACTTTGCAAATTTCGAACGGTTGGGTTCGGGCGTCGCGCGCAACATTGCGGCATCAACACCACAGTTGAACTCGTCTCGTCCTGCAGTTGATTTCTGTCCAAACGGCACTGTCAGAGACTTTCAAAAATGCGTATTTCAAGCAAAATCAATCACGGACGTGGGGGTTCACGCAACTTACAGGGCCACACTGCCACATGTTGGCTGCACTTCTCTGCAGTGAGTCTGCATTCAAGATTACCAGGTCTGAGCAAGGATGAAACGCTGGCAGCGTGACCGAAAATGCCCAGCAACACTGATGAGCATTGCACTCAAGGTTCAATGCCCATCCGAACTGTGGGCCGGAAAAATGGGGCCCAAAAACGGGGACGTTTTTTGGGCCCCTTCTTGCAAAAATCCGGGCCCAAAAACAGGCCCCATTTTTTGGCATCACTTTTGGCTCCCTGATCTAATTTGCCTTGCGTGGCTCCACCTCAAGCTCAAACTACGGGGCCTATTTTTGGTGACGCATTTTGGCATTTTGGGGTCTATTTTTCGGGGCTCATTTTTGGGCCCTCAAAATCTTAAAAAAATTCCAATTTTCAGCCGCTTTACCACATTCCACAGAGTCACGACCACTTGCACATGAGCTGCATTCTATCCATCAGCAGCTTGGCAAGAAATTGCTGTTTTCAGCTGCTTCCGTGCTCTACACAAGTAAGGACCATGCCTTGATCAGCTTGCAAAAATGGCTCTCTTTGTAGGTCGTCCAGCAATTTGTTCTGCACTGTGGAGGCCCTTTCAAGCGGCCCCAATTCAAACACAGGTTTGGGGCTCAAAAGCAGCCCCCCCAAAAAACACTTGAATTGCTGCCCTTCATTTAAACTCACCTCGCGTTTTCTCGCTCACACACCTCCACCCATTCTGTCTCACCTCACACTCACACACCACATCCCAGTCACACACATTCCCACACACTTGCAAACACTGCACAATGTGCAACCCACCACCACCTGTGAACAACTGCCACCACAGACCTAGTGCCTTTTTGCACTCACCACATCCCACAGCCACACACACACACACCCACACCACTACCGCCTGTAAATAAGGCTTTCTCTGCTTTTCGCTTGATTTTTGCTGTCTCTTTTTTGGGACCCATACCTTCTCTTTTAAAAATTTCTTCGAACCGAACTTTTGGTGCAAATTTTTTAAAGATCAAGAAATGGCAGCTTGGACCTTTGGGTTTTCACTGTACACCGCAGCAAGAATGCAACCACTCTGGATCCGCAACTAGTTTGTACACCTACAATCCTCATGGGAACACATATGGCGACCCCCTTGGAGCTCCACCCAGCGTAAAGGGCACATGCTTTTCTCAACCATACCCAATCTCCTTTGCAGCCCAGAAAGCAAAGTGGAATTTGTAGCATTCCTCTGGACCTAGCTTGGGCCACCGCAGAATCAATTTAAAGAAGCGGACCAACCACAACAGCCAGAATCTAGAAACTAGCATGAAAGCAAGAAATTCGAAGCCATCTTTTGAAAAGCAGCCTGAAAACACTTGGCACCACTTGGCCTCGCTCAAAACTTGTCAAAAAGCCAACACATCTTGAGCCATCGATCCAAGTTCAAAACAACCAATCGTCCAATGCCAGACCCAACACTGCTTCGTCAAAGTTTTGCACTCAAAGAAAGGGTCAATATTTGGCAAAGCAAAAAAACGACACAAAGCCAGACCACACTGCCTTTGGTTTGTTTTTTGAAAATTGGGCTTGGAAAGTGATGCATCCTGCAAACCTAACTCTGAACTCTGGCTTGTGCATGCCGACTTTCCAAGAAAATAAAAGTGAAAGCAACGGTGTGGGAACATCTTTCACGCGGCACCACAGTGACAGCAGGCAAATTCAAGATGGAGAACTAGAGGAAAATCTTGACAACATGTGGCGGAATGATTCTCTCCGCCAGTCAACGTTCACATGAAATGTTTCTGCAGCCAGAAATGGACTGCAAGCAATCAGATTCTGAACATGTTACAGATGCTGTGTTTTTTCAAGCTCTTTCTTGGCAAGTGCAAGCTGGGTCGATGCTTCTTCAATAACTTTGTTCTTTGTTGCTCTTGTATTTAGCGCTTCTGCTCAACTGGCCCTCGACCTGGAACCGAACACGGAAAATCAATGAACATCAAAATCTTTCTTTGTTTTTGTTTGCGCTTTGAACGAATATGCAAGGTCACATTCTTAATAATAATGCAACTGCTGAAGAACCAATCTTCGAAGCTTACGACCATGTCAAAACAAACGATGCTTCACTTTTCTCCACTACTTGCAACAAAGCATTGTTGCAATGTTTGCAAGTTCTAAAACCAAATAAAAAAAACAAGAAGAGAATAAATCTTTCTCTTCTTCAATCTTTCAAACAAGAAAGATATCAGTTTGAACACCAGAGTTTTACTTGTTTACATTTTGGTAAGACACTTTGCAATTTGGTCAAACTGTTTTTTTTTAAAACAGTGGTCATGACGCTGCATGCTCTCCAATCAACCGCTTAACGCATCTTAAGCAGCTCTCCTTGTCAGACAAGAGCAAGGCACCGGGTTGGAAGCTTTCAGATTTGTGCATGGCAAGTCGACGTGCTTAGAGCTTAATGAACCTTGTTCTGCAACCGTTTTGTGGCTTTTAGGCTGAAACGGCTCATCTCCAAGATGTTTTTTTTCAAGCTTGTCATTTTTCTTTCCAGTCTGCGCTTCAGTGTTGATAGAGGTCAGTTTGGAGCTGTCTCTTCGCAACGAACCTTCGCAGGCCTGTTTCTGATTTTTTGAAGGTTGCTTTTTGCCTTTTAGCGTGCCTGGTGGTTTCGATCGCTCTGGTGTTGGATCGAAGTGTAAGACTTTTTGCCAAATGTTGAGAGACCTTTCTTTTTGAGTGCAAAACTTTTGACTTTTTGCAGTGTCGAGTCAAGATCTGGACTTGCAGACACCTCTTTGCCTTCAAAAAAGGATTGTTTTTCACTTGGATCGGATGCCTCAAGACCCCAGCTGATTTTGATTTGAAAGTTTACACCCAAAAATCGATGCATTCTTCAACTCCGATGTTCCTTGCGGGCAGCTTGTGCCGTCATGGATGTCGACAACCAACGCACGCGTGGGGGCGCTTTGTTTTCTGCTTCGGAGGGTCTGGAGATGATCTGGATGTTTAACTTGTTGCGAGGATCATGGCGCCTCAAGTTGAACTCTTTCTTGCGCGCCGGCACCTTTGTACCTCCGTCAAGACTCTGTCATGAGTGTGTGTTGTTATTGTTCCCCAAGCAGCTTGACTAAAACGTTCTTTGTTTGCTCTTGTTCTTAAATCATATTCATTTGTTTCCCACTTGTCTCCTTGCTGGGCAACAATTGCAAGCTGTCACTGAGCTGTGCTTACGTGCTGGTACAGCTTGTGCGATGTAGGGTGGTAGCCTGTTGAGGTGATGCGCCAAGTGAGAGAGGTCTGATGAAGAGCACTTGGGCTCCCTGCTGCTGAAGACAGTTGCATCATTGTTGCTTTTCCTTGATGGATCCTGACGCTAAATGACAGTGTTGCTTTGTAGATGTCCTGCTGTGCGGCAAACTAGATTCCGGTGCTCTTCCAGCCCATTTTGGTATTGCACCAAGGCATCTGATGCGCAGCGTCTGCAAGCTTTCGTTAGACCATTGGGATTTGAATGGATTTGACACATGAGCCTTTGTTTTTTTTTTTTACGGAGGAAGATACTTGGGACCCCCGCTTCTTGATGGAAGGTGCATGTCATGGAAAGCTTGAGCTGCGTGCTTGGAGTTTGATGCTCAGCGCGATCGATGCCCTCCCTTTGAAAACGCCTCTGACTGTGCACACAGAGCGTGACAAAACCCTTAGAGATCGAATTTGCGCTGTCGTGCGTTGGTGGCGCTGGCTGCGATTCCTGCGGTGCACAATGCTTCAATCGACAATCAGAGCATTTGGGAGGGTTCTGTGCAGAACATGACGTGCGTTTTCAACGATTGCAGGTTCCAGGATGCCGCCTTGTAGAGTGCATCTGGGGTCATATTCGAAGTGATATGAAGATAGTAGTAAATAGGTTAATCTTCAAAATTTCGCACCATGTTTTTATTCATATTATGGATATTCTTCACACAAAACCTTCTAATAATACAGAAATGGGGGCTTCTCGAAAAGCCACACTTGACCCTATGATTGACATGTGCACCTTTTTCCGTGTTTGGGATTTCAAAGTTTTTGCATGCGGTTTTCTCCCAAGATTTCAGGCGATCCGCCGGGTTTTTTCGGCTTCAGGACGGCTTTACAAGCTACCCGAGACAGTATCGCAAGCTCCCTTTGCGACCTTTCCAGGCGCTGAGCTGGCTTTCAAGGTGTATAACCGCACAGCGTCAAATCAAAAAGTTTGGGATGTGTCAAGCTTTCGCTTGCTGGCTCTGTAGTTTCAGTGATTGCACAGGGCCCGGCAACCGTGAAACCAGGATATCAGGGCTTCGAAGCTTCAGGGGTTTCTTGGCTTTCAGCTGGTCGTCCCAAAAGCACAGGCGTAGATGCTTGGAATTACGGGCTTTGCCCGAGTCCTGGGAAGGCTCTCCCAACATCTCAGCTGAGGAAACCCCCTGCCCCAAGCCCTGGATAAGACGGGGTGCGCAAGCGGGGCACAGGTGTATCATGGCCGCCGCGCTCGTGGAGTCCATGCAAGAGCTGACCCTCAAGGAGCCCGAGGTCGGTTCGAAGGATTTCGAGAGTAGTGCATTGTTTTTTTTTGTTCGGGCCTTCATATGTGCTCTGTGTGTGTGTGTGTTTTTGATGCAGAGGCTTGTTTTGACATCTTGGCATTGTCGTGTTGGGTTGACGAGGACCTTGGCTACGACTTAATGGACTCAATCAGAGTGCTGTAGGCTTTCGACATACCGACTTACGCCGGCCACCGGCCATGCCTTCGTTTTAGGCTTCTCCCCGGCTGTTATCAAGCGCACGTCGCTCGTGAAATATGCTTCTTCCCTGCAAGCATGTAGCTATGACAAGGTCTCTTAATAGGCGTCAGAAGTAAAACAACTTTCTTTCTCTGCAAAAGTATCTTTTTGTATATATATATATATATATATATATAAATGTACACATCCATACACAGCAAAACACACATGTGGCAAGTCTAAGCCTTGACAGGCGGCCCAGGAGCAGATGGAGGTCGTGCAGTTCAAGGCGGATTTGAGGGGAGGTTGGGGGAGGTTTCCGATGCTTGATATGCCGAAAGAAGCACGCCACCCGAGCCATGGCTTTCAAGAGAGATGGGGCAGTAAGACCAGCCCTTGAGCCTCAAAAGGTGACAGCCGAAACTATTGTACCTCGAAAGTGGCGGCCCCTTTTGTGGCGATGAAGCCTTTAAGCCGCTGTCAACAACCGCCGAGTGCTCGGAAGGTCTCGGGCCTCGGTGCTTTCGAGCTGGAGCTGGACCTCGCCACTGCAGTCCGCCTGGGCCCCGCATCTGCTGCATCTGCCGCTTAAGCGTCCCTTTGCCAGGTTGCGGTCTCGCGAAAGCAATCTGGTGGGGATGTGGTTCAAGGCTTGCTTGTGATTGGGTTTAGGGGTTCGGTCCCTTATGTGCAGAGTGCCTTGGGATAGTGGAGTCATTCTGCATTCGTGGTCCCTACTTTGAATGGTGGTTTCTTCTCGAGAGGCTGCAGCCTTCAAGCTTTGTTTGCGGCTTTTGATAGGGAGAGAGTTGATCGTGAAAGGCTCATGGAGAGAGGCGAGCGCGCTGATGCTTCTTTTCAGGGGCTACGCTCCACACTTGCCCGAAAGTTCAAGTTCAAGGACCTTCGGTCCAGAGTACGTATCCTTTAGGGGTTTTGAGCAGTTTCGTCGGGTTTCGGCTTGTTAGAGGAGGAGGCCCGGGCTTCGGGGTTTGCAGGCCTGCTTGAAGGCTGACAGGGTGTTAGTGTTCATGGTCCAGCATGTGGGGCTCGGCATATGTGCATACTCTAACAGCACTTTCCTTTGATTCCGAGGCGACGTCAAGAAGCTCGCCAATGATGCCTGCAACATCGAGCCCGAGCATCCTAGCTACATCCTGATCCATTGAGTTGTGTAGTTGTTTGGCACTCAACCCTTCAACCCACCTCTCGCAGTCGTTTACGGCTTCGGGCTTGTTCTGGCAGATGGACTCCTCCCATGCATAGCTTCCCTGCATTGCTTGAAGAGCCTTGGAAAGGGTTGCGGTAGCCTTGGGGTCTGGGGCAGGCACATGCGCCTCATCTACAACGGCCGCCAGCTCAAGGACTCGTGCTCTGTCCCTGGTGTGGGATGCTAAGGTACAAGCTTTGCGGGTGTTCGTAACTCTTTGTAGAACTTATGCTGAGACGAGAAGACCCCTCGTTAAGCAGCGTCGGCGCTTCAGGGCGGGTGCTCAAAGGGTGCTCAGACGATGAGCCCTTCCCCCTTCTCCCCGCTTCTGAAACAAGAACGCAGCCTCAGGATGCTGACACCCTGGAGCTGTACAACCCCAAGGACGGGGACAATTTGAAGGGTGCAAGGATATGGGGCACGCTTGGATTTGTGAGAGTTTCTGCGGGGAGATTGACCGGGGTTTGGTTTGATGGGGTGGTGGAGATGGGGCAGAGGTTTAGTAGTTTGAGACTTTCAAAGCCCCAGACGTCGCCCATGGCTTTGGGGCTATGGGTGGATTCCGCCCAGAAGCCTCCATGCAAGCTTTGCGCCCTGCAGCACACCGAAGTCTCACGCCAGGACAGCGCCCCTGTGCAGATCCTCTTCACCGCTGGCCACGTGGCGATGATGGGAGGCAGCCCCCATGTGTTGGGTACTCGATGTTCCCCTTAGGCCGTTTGGCATTTCTCAAGACGGGCTCGGCGCTGTCGGTTAGGTGGTCCACCCACTAAAGCAAAAGCCCTTGGTCCAAAACCCGTCCTCTCAGCCTGTTTTTTCGTCGGTGCACCTGTGAGGTGTCGGTGGCACCGGTGGCGGCCCTCGCGGAGGACATGGCGCCAAGCAGCAGAGGTCGGGAGCCCTCGGAGCACTTACATTTGTGAGTATTTCTGGAAGGTTTTTGGGCATGGGTTGAGTTCGTCGAGGTCGAACAGTGGGCTCCACTCCAGGTCGAGAGAGGGTCTTCTTTGTATCCAGTTTCTCGCGCCCCTAACCTCAAAGGGCCTTAAACGGGAATGCAAGGTCTTGAAACAAAAGCAGAGTCCATACACAGCATGCGCAGAAGCGGCCGGGCCACAGGTCATGGGCCGAGCCCAAAACCCAGGAGCTTAAAGCCGACGTTGTTGAGTTTCGTTTGAAGTTTCGATGAAAGCAGGTCACACCATTTTTCTATCGGACATGAATCGAAGCTCGTATCTCCAAAACCTTACCCAAAGTCGACCCTGGCACCGCGGAGATGTGGGAAATGAAAAGGTCCGCTTCACGCGTTCCAGGTGTGCGGGACGTGTGACGCATGCTCAGGGCTGGGTGATGTCGCATATCCGACGATCTACTTCCTCACCATCCAAGACCACACCCACTAGAATTGCTAGACTCGACATCGAAAGACCCCCGGCAGGAATCCGTTCTCCACACCGGTGCGCGGACTCCCCGGTTCCAAGGCGCGGATTGGCTAGTGTGCAGTAGGCAGAGCCCCGAAACAGGGACGATCATGGACTTTAAAGAGGGTTGAGAGTGCAAGGCTTCGCACACGCGCGCAGCTTCAGCCAAGCTTGTCCAGGGGGCCTCTCTCCCCCCAAGCCTGAAACCCCAACCGCCCCCAACCCCACATGAGAATCCCAAGCAGGGACTTCGAAGCTCCCGTGTATCGGGCCGCCCGGGTGGCATGGCCCTCATCCGGAAGCGCCTCGGACATCGCGTTGCAAGTTTGGCTTCCTTTCGATTTTCACGGTCCCTGACTGGCTTCCAGGTCTTTCCCTGAACGTCTGCGTGGAGATGGTGTCCACACACACAAACCCTTCAAGCGAGAACAGTTGTGCTCACAGTTTATGGCAGTGATGGAACCCAACAAATATCCCCCAACTCTTCACGTTATGCTGCCCTCAACGCAAAACGCCCGGAGTTTGCGAGTGCGAAATTGGAACCTCAGGATAGGGCGGTTAGGGTTTGGCAAACCTTGGGCGAGCTATTGGTTTTTGAACGGTCAAGGTCAGGCCCCGAAGCCCCAAGCCCAAGGTACGGCATCATGATGAAGCGCCAGGAGTTCCGCGAGAAGGCTGAGGAGATTGGCTTCATCAAGTACCGCTGAGCGGGAAAATCAAGAAGGGTTGAATGGGAGCTGACTGAGACGGAACCGAAGACACAGAGGCTGTCACTGCGGTGGCTGACAAAGAGCGGAGCTGTTACGCTTCTTGACCTCTTTGGGGGATCGTGATCCCTGAGCCAACTTAGCCCGAAGCCCGAAGCTCGCAGCCCCAAGTTGCCAAGCCACTGCATGACTCTCAGGGCTGTGGGTGACGACGCCCCATCACAAGGCTTCTCTCGCACCCTCGATCTCCAACTCGAACGTGCACTCTCTGAGCCCCGAGCCCTAGAGATGCTGAGTCCTCAACCTAGATCCGAGCTCTCTCTCGGGGGGTTTTGTCTGTACCAAGGAGATGCTACAGTTCAGAACGGGCGATTCCGACAGCACAGTAAGCAGACAAGCCCTCTCAAGCCCAAGCCCTAGAAGCCCTCATCCCAACCCCATTCACTTCTCAACACCCGAACAGGCAAAACCTACAGAGCCCAGCCATGCCTCCCTGAACCCTTTGTGTTTTTGAGCTGCAGAATACTCGCCGCGCCGGGCGCCACGCCTTGGGGGCTCAGTCCGGGATCCACCCCGAGAGAGCTCCGCCTGATCGGGTGGAGCGGTGAGGCCGCGCTGGCGAAAAGCTTGGGGAGTTTCGGGGAGATTCAGCGCCAGAAGGGCCATCAAAGCATCTTCCTCTCTAAGCCCCCCTCCCGCCCCCTCCCCCCTTCCACCAAGGCAACAAGATAACAGAAGACCTACTTAGGGAGCCCAAACTGCCAGGCTTCTGCCCGCCCTCGGCGGGCTCAGGGGAGCTCGGGCCACGGCATGCCTCTGGCAGGGTAGTCGCAAAGCAGTTGCCATCGTTTCCTTTCCTTCCAGACCTGAAGCCAACATGTTTTACTCGTCTGCCCAAAAGCTTCCGCTTGAAAACTCTGAACATCCTATCTGCGCAGTTTTTACAGACTTCTGCGCTCTCACTTTGCTTTGTTCTGCTTGTTCTCTCCCGGAATCAGAAAGCTGGCTGCTCTCGCGGGTTTTGCGCAGGCATTTTCATTTCATGTTCGCTTCTTCTTGAAGTTGTGAGCCATGGAGACTCAATCTCGCGTGGCCCCAAAGCCTGTCGAGCTCGACCAAGAGCAGGTGCTCGCGCCCACGGGACTGCCTTGCTCGCTGTCTTTTCCGGAGAGCCGTGGTTGTGTCGGTTGAGCTTTATGGTGCTTTCGCATGGACTCGGAAAGTTCCAAACCGCTCCTAGAGAAGATACCGGAAATATTCGTGAATCCTGAGCCAAGGAGAAGCCAGGCCATGGATCTCAGCAGGATGCCAAGGAGGGGGGCCGAGGCCAAGGCGGCCAAGGCGGTCGCGGCCAAGGCCAAGGCGAAGGCCGAGTTCATGCTCGGCGTGGTGCCCGCACCCGCCCTACCCGATGTCGTTCAAAGGGGCGGAAGTGGTGGGAGTGGTGGAAGTGCGTCTCAGGCCGGGACTTGGCCCTCCAAATTTTTTAACGCCTGTACATCTGCAGTTGCACCATCTAGCACCCCCTTCCCGCCGTCAGAACCAAAAGCCTCGCAACCCATACTCTATGATATACGACACCATATACTGCATCATAGTCTTCGAATCTGATGAGGTGGGAGGCACTGTGCGAGGTCAAGACGACGTCTCGCCATTCCAGTCCAGCAATCAAAGTCCTGCGTTGCCGGTGAGCCCCGCGAGCCAGGCGAGCCAGGGCAAGAAACGAGGGCTCAAGGTTAAGTGGGATTATACTACTGATTTTCAGGATTGAATTGAAGGTCGAGTTGGGTGCGCTTCGGGATCTCCAGCCTCGTGCAGAGTCCTAATACTCTCCAAATCATCTGCTCTCGCCTCAGGCTGTCAGGCCCACGCGTAGCAGGTGCTCTTCCATGAGCCAGATGCGGTTAGTCGCAGACACCCGGCACTGAAGCAGCTGCAATGGATGTCGGGCATGGGATTCGGAGTGGTGCTCCCCCCACAAAAAAAGATCAGTGGTTGACATCCGATCAAAAAGTCCAACTTGCCCCCCTATGCTACACAGCCCCGACAGCGCTAAACCCTCAATCCCATCGGGCATTGGGCCATGAAACGACCCCAGAAACCCACTCGACTCCTCCCACCCAGGACCAGGATCTCCTCCGCAGGGCTACGCTCATCTTCGCGAGTCGGGAGGAGGGGAGCCGCATGGGGGGTTGTTGTTCTTGGATTTCGGCATGTTTCCGCATGTTTCAGTGTGTTTCAGGGCTGGACCTTCTGGGTCTAAACCTTCTGGGTCTAAACCTCCAACAGGGGTTGTGACTACCCTTTGGATTCGCTTGGCCACGAAGGACCTGCCGGAGGATGAAGAGAAGTGTCGAGCTGCAGACTGCTTCATGGTGATCGTGAGCCTTGGCGTTTCCTTCATCACATTCGGGGGTTTGGGGAGGGGGATAGGGCGTCTTTGAGTCAGTTTTTATCCGCAGGCAAAGCAAATTTGCCACGGAACGATGATGCCCTCCGCAGCTTTCAACACTTTTCTCTGCATTTGCTCTGTGCGGAGCAGCCTCGTTAGCTCCTGCGAGATCTGACGTAGATGCACCAGCTTGTGCTCGGCCCCTTTATCCGTCCGAATAGACTGGACAACACCTTTCCATGTGGGGGAAGGGCCCTGTGTTTGCCTGTCGCCCTAGTGTCGTAGCCCTGTCCAATGTATTGCACGACCCTGGCCTTGCCCCAGACATCCGATGTGCCTTGCAAAGGCAGTGCACTCCTCTTGGGATGCGCCAGAACAGGCTTTAGAAAAAAAACCGGGTTTCCCGTCTCACGACCTCCTGGGCATGAAGGGTGCCTTGACTCTGTGTGCAAGGGGCCTTTTGATCAATGGCCTCTGCGACCTCCTGCCGCCCTCCTCCTGCCGCCCTCCTCCTGCGTGGTGAAGCTTTCGCAGAAATCTCGCACTTGGGCTGCCCATGTCATGCCATGTCCAGCACCTGGCCTTCCCACATCGTTCCCCCCTTCCACCGCGTATGTGTGGGTCAAGACATCCGGTCGCCTCACTATTGCTGCCTTGCCCATAGTTTCCAGCCCCTGCCTACCAGAGGCATCGTCGGCCTGGAGGAGGCATCACATGGTATCACTTGGCCTTCTGCATGTTACGACTGTCACGAGGTGATATTCCTGGGAGCTTACACGCTCAGGAACTGTGCCCCGCTTTCAACAGGGCAGCTCCGTGAGACTGATACGTTCCAGCTCCTTTGCCTGCGTGCCTCAGATCTTTCTGTCCAACCTCGCATGCCGTAGGCTCAGTCCGTGCCATTCGTATTGTTGCCTAAGGCGTGTTACGTTCGACTCTTGCCCAACATGTCGGCACCTTCGCTGTTTTGTGGACAGGCGATGCAATGAGTGAAACAGGAGCAGTTTTGCACGGTCAAATTTCGGCTAGCTTAGAATTTCTTGAAGCCCTGAACCTGCTCAGGAGTGGCTTTCTTCAATTGTTCATGGGGCTTCTGCCTGGAGGGTGGTCAAAGCGCCGGCCGATTTCATCCCTCGTCATCGCGGTGGTCTTGACTGCTGCTGGGCTTAAAAATCACGCCTCGCGGTGCAATCTCTCACGGCGTAATCTCGCGGGTCTCAAGTTAAGGGTAAAGACGCTGCCCAATAGCAAAAACTTTGACCCAGGCTACGCCATGGTTCATCAGCCTGTATGGGATGATTGTGTGCTCCGGCATGCCGCAGTGGAGCCACGTAATCCACCTCATGGAGCAAACGTCCCTGAGACCCAGCTGGGCAAGATTTCAGTTGTTCAGATTCCGGGCAGAAAGCAAAAAACTAGCCTTATGCAACCACGGCTCTGGCGACACTGCCTTGAATCCACACCCCGCAGAGGCTTAGGTCCCCTAAGCCTCGTTTCCAGGTCCTTTCTGGCACTGCTCTGGGGGGTGAGCTGCTCCAAAGGTTTCCGTGAACTTGTGATGGTAAGGATGCACGAGGCAGGCACTGCTGGGAGGGGGATTCGGGCAATTCGGGCAAGTCCGGGGGCAAGTCCAGGTCAATGGGTCCGAAGCGCCTGTACCAGCAGGTGCAGGAGAGGCTCGACTCGGCCATGCAGTCTTCGATGAAGTGGGATTTCATGCCCATCTTCGCCGCCATGGCCATCTGGATGCTTTGTTATGCGGCGCAGCTCCAGATGAGCCTCCAGGCAGGGTGACCGCGGCGAAGACAGAAGTTGCCCCCTTACAGGCCCGAGAAACCCCTGAGCCAGGTGGAGACTTCTTGGAGTTCTTGGAGTGGTTTGCTGCCCATGCTCCCCGCCCTGCCCCGTGCCGCATGGGCCTACACCCTGCTTCGTTTCAACCGCTTCTTGATCCTCTTGGTGGAGCCTGTGCCTGCACGCAAACCGTGTTCAAGGTTTTGAAGGCTTGAAAAGCAATGGCTTCAGTGATTGGACTGCTCCTGATCTTTTCATTTTTGAGATGGAGAGACCCCCCCATGCCCAGCAGAAGAAGAAGAAGAAGAAGAAGAAGAAGAAGAAGAAGAAGAAGAAGAAGAAGAAGAAGAAGAAAAAGTAGAAGAAGAAAAATAAGACTCTTTGCCCCCGCAAGATGCGGGGCGCGCAGACTGTGCGGGGGCCCTGCGCCCTCGTGACCCCAAGAAAGCAAGAGAGACAGAGACAGAGAGATAGAGAGGCAGAGACAGAGAGACAGAAGCTCCTGAGGGGAAATGGGCGCTGGAAGCAAGGAAGGAAGGCAGGAAGGAAGGAAGGAAGGAGAAGAGAGAGAGCGTGAGCAAGAGCGAGCGAGAGCGAGAGGGCTGCAGAATTAACCGATGACCCTATGTGATTTGCAACTGTTGTGCAGAGTAGAGGGTCGTTGGAGCCACGATGAAGGTTTCACCCCGACCAGGGAAGACGTGTAACGTGGTGGAGTACAGCCTCCGCACCACCCCGAACATCGGACCACCCGAACATCGGGTGCTCGACTGCGCGAAGAAACAGATGAAGAAAGGGGGGGCAGCTCGGCCGCCCTCTTCGGAGGGCAGGCAGTGCCGAACAGCGAAGAAGACGAACAACTCGAGAGTGCGAGAGCGAGCCCGTGCCTTCACGCCGAGCGGCCTCAAGCCGAGCCGAGCAGCCCGACATAGTCCTGATCCAGGGGTCATTCGGAAAGTCATGGGGGGTCCTACGCAGCTGTTCCGCGCACCGACATGCCTTTTTGAATCACCCGGATGTCCGAGTTTTGTTTTCACACCACTGGATGAGTGTTGTCCGTCACCGCAAAATGTGGAGGCGCGGGGACCGTGTGGGGGCTCCGGCCCTCATGGCCCAAGAAAAACAAGAGCCAGAGAGAGAGAGAGAGGGAGACAGAGAGAGAGAGGCCAAACCAATGGACCATCGGACATTGCGCGCCCCTCGGGGCGGCCTCCTCCTTCGGGGGGGGGCCATGCGTGCAGAGAGAGAGAGAGAGAGAGACGGAAAAGAAGCCATTTTGGCTCAAGTCGGAACCCACCCCCGGCTTGAGCCATACGCCGCTAAACTTCAGCTCAAAACGATACGGGGCCCGCTGGAGCTACGGCCAGTGGGGCTTTCAGTTTAGCATGTGCCCCTCCCGCTACTCGGTTGAGCCATGTCAGTTTTAGAACGCGGACAAACTCACTTGTGCGACCGAAACTCCAGAAAATCACATACGAATCCGCTTGATCTTGACTACGACAGCACGGCAGACCATGGAGGAGCACAAGAAGGCAGCCAGCCCCTTCACGCGGTGTCGTGCACGGGCGCGCCCCGACCCGAGGGGAGTCCAAACCTCGGCCATCGCTGAGGGGAAGACGAGCCGAGGGGAGGGGTTTGCGTAGCCGGCCCACTGCTGGGGGGATTTGGCGCATGGCGAATTCGAGCGGTGGGCCTCCTGAACCGCAGCGGGGGGAAGGAGGGTAGCACGATCACACACACTCAAATTCCTTGGATGTGCCCACCGCCAGCAGAAGCCTGAGCGGGGCCGTGAATGAACGCATGTTTTTGCACCGTTGCCTTTTCTACGAACAATTGAAGGGACTGTTGAGACAGGGGTGAAACAGAGATGGAGGAAGACGAGGATGAGCAACACGCAACTGGGACAAAGCGGCCACGCCAAGAAACCAGCAGCAGCAGTAGCTGCAGCAGCCCGGTCCGGAGCCCAAGCGACCGATGGGAGGCTTCCCCCAACGGGGGACCCTCCCCAGCACACGTGGTCACTTTGGGGGCCCACGCTACAGCGACCTCCTGCACCTGAAGCACATCGGGGACGTGGCCTACATCCTCCTCAGGCACCTGAACGTGATTCAGTACCGGAAGCACATGGGGCCACAACAGACGGAGGACGGGGAGGACCGAGCCAACCAGTGGATACCACCCAGCTCGACGACTACGCAAGTGGGCATGGACTTTTCGGAGGGAGGAGGATCTAGCCAACAAGTGGAGACCACCCAGATCGACGACCATGAGGAGGGGCGCGAACTTTTTGAGGGGACCGTGGAGACAGGGGTGACGGGCTACTACCTGGAAGACGATGAGAGTGAAGCCGAAGGCCTAACAACCGATAGTGAGCAGAGTGGTGAAATTGACCACCCCACGAGGTGCCGCTAAGACAGAGGTACCGATGTCATTGAAGGGCTCTGTTGAAACCGACGGGGCACCTAGTCAGCTGGACACAGACCCACTTGGCCGTCGCGGCCGGGTTCCTCCTCCGGGGGGGACTCCTAAGTGCTGGGAAAGGGAAACGGAAAAGAAGGAGAGAGAGAGATTGACATAGAGCATGTCGAGGGGGAAGCAAGCACTCCAGACAAGAGCCGGAGTTAAGGAGTTAAGGGGTTAAGGAGTTCAGGAGTTCAGGAGTTAAGGAGTTAAGGAGTTTAAGGAGTTAAGGAGTTAAGGAATGAAAAGCAAGGAAGGAAGGAAGGAGGGAAGGAAGGAAGGAAGGAAGAAAGGAAAGAAGGTCTGAAGCGAGCATGTTGTGCTAGGAGAGTTCAAAGTTTGACCGTTCTGTTCTTTGATTCTAGAGGACTGCTTTGCTCAATCTTCCGCCCGGCACATGGACGAGATGAACCTTGTCTACGAGCCCAGGTTTGTTTTGAGCAAGCTATGAGGTTTGCTGCAGTTGTGTTTGCTCTTGGACACCCAAACGTGATTCCATCATTCCGTCTGCAGCACTGACAGGAACAGTGGGCGTGTATCGTCGCCTTTGCTGGCCAGGCTTCCCGTTGGACGGGCACGGTCTACTTTCACATGTCGACCTTCTCGTTCCTCGGCATCTTCCCGCCTTTGACAGCAGTGTTCCTTGATGCACAGCATGGCTACACAGAGATGCTGCTGCCACAGCTTTTTGCCAGCATTGCATACGGTTGTCTCGCAGCGTACGTGCTGCACCGAGCAGCAGCTGTAAGCCGGCAGCGGGACAATGCGGTGGCATGCACCAACAGCATTCAGTGGGCCTTGTCACCATCTCAACGCAGGGACCACGACATCTTAGTGAGCTACATGGCGCGCAGTGACTTGGGCATTTCCATGTGTGGCATATGCGTGACGCCATCTCTTATGCTAAAGCTGGCGTCCATCTTGGTCACTTGGCTCTCCTAGCTTTTTGAGTTGGTGTCGGCCTTTCAAGAGCCCCACTAAGCCTTTCGCGTGCCTGGCCTTGTGAATGTACGGGCCACAATGGCATTCGCAGTTGGATGCCTCGGTGACTCCATAGTCCTGAATGTTAAACCTCTGAAAACCTCAGGGCCTGTTTGAGCCAAGGCGACCGCTGCCTCTTTTCTTGTAGCCCGCCTCGTGAGTCTTCCGGAGGATGAGAAGGCGGACATTGCGGACCAATGGGATCGTTTCATTCAGGCCTTCGGGGCTTAGGTGCTTTCTGCTGATTCGTGTCCCTGCCGTCGGTGCGTCTTGGATGCAGTATGCCGCTGGCCCATGACACTCCACAGCTCAAGAGCCTCACGATGAACAGAGGAATGTGAGGCATTGCAAGCTCCAGCAAATGCTGGTTAATCTTTTTTGGCATGGAGGCTGGCTGCCCGTCGAAGGGTCCCTTTGGACTTGTGGGCTGTGCGGATATGATGCACTTGGAATCCAGGCCAATTAGCAGACATGTAGGCAGGTGTCAGAAACGGCTGCCGGAGCCTTACCATAGCCACGTATTGATTTCGAGAGGGGGTTTCCCTCCGTCATGAGTCTGCCGGAAGATGAAGAATCAACGGCGGACATTGCGGAAGACTTGGATCATGGATCGCTTCGCTCAGGCTTTTGGGGTGTGAGGGATGTTTTGTTTAGAGCTTATCATCGTTGTTGGGTTGTTGCCATTGTTAAAAGAAACAATGAGAGGAGCAAGGCTGAGGCTTTCTGGTGGCTCGTGTCCCTGCCTTCGGTGGTCTGAGATCTTTGACACTCCACAAAACCTAAAGCCCTAAAGCTTCATCTCCTTAACAGAGGGTGAGGTATTCTACGTGCGAAGGTCCTGGTCGCGGGCTTCTTACTTTACGCTTTTGAAAGTAATGCATCTCCCTTTTCTGGCCTGGAGGGCCGGCTGCCGTTCGAAGGGTCCCCTTGGACCCGAAAGCACCCTGAACCCATGAACATACCCCTGAACAGGGATTGGGTTTAGTTTTGAACGCTACGCGACCTGCCTCGGCGCGGGCTTGGGTTTGTGGGCCATAGCAGCGGCGAGGCAAGGTCGCCACTTGCCGGAAAGCTAGGTCTTTGGAGGGGTGGGAGGGGCGGTGGAAAGGGCACGGGTGAAGAGGGGAAGTGAGCAGGCTTGCCTCACACATGGTCAAGAGTCAAGAGGGGCAAAACATGTGGAAAGCAGCAGAGAAAGGTGAAGGAGAAGGTGTAGGTCCGCCTTACGGTGTCTTTAGGGTCCCTGGCCCATAGACGGGGTTGCCTAGAGGTCCATATCGTATCTTTAGTTTTCCGGGCCGCGAGGGTTTTCTCGAAGCAGAAGCTCCATTGACGGGAACGGGGAGGCGGTGGTCGTTTTCGGGGGGTTCCCCCACAAGCGCAACGATTTGTTGTTTGCAAGGGCACCTGGAGGGTTGTGAGGGTGTGGCTCGGAACCTTGCGAGCGCTAGAAAATGAATCTCGAGGTGATAAGGCTTTAAAAGGCAAGACTCGCTCCTGTGTCCTCAGGCTGCCGAAAAATGCCCTTCGTGAGGTTTCGGTTCTCCATTCGAAATGGAAAGGGAGGTCGTCTGGGGTTTGTGAATTCAACAGGGAGTTCCCGTGGGGGCCTCTGACGCCTGGTTGAGGTTCAGTGCTACCTCCTATCAGATGTATGTTGCATCCTTGAGAACCCAAGTTAGCCATACCACCAACGCGAGCGGGCAATTCGCCGGAAGGAAGGTTGATTTCATTGGCTTGCGGCCGCGTTCAGGGGTCAAGACAATCCTGAAAGTTCGGCGGGGCTGTGAGATGCTGCAAGTACGATGCACTTGGAACCCAGGCCAATTAGCAGACGTGTAGGTGCCAGAAACAGAAACGGTCGCCGGAGCCTTGCCAGGGCCTCGTGTTAATTTCGGGAGGGCAGTGCCGACAGAGTTTGCGGCAGCTCTCGGTCATGAGTCTGCCGATGAAGAATCAACGGCGGGCATTGCGGAACAATGGGATTATCGGGATCTCTTACTGTAGGTTCTCTAGAGGTCCTGCGCTTTTTGCGCAACTTCCGTTTTTTAAGCATGTCATCCTAGTCCTTTGGCACATCGAGCTTGAGTCCGGGTGGCTTTCGAAGCTCGAGCACGGTGTTGCAACGCGTTGCAGCTGTCTAAAGGGTTCTGGTTTAAAGAAGGGCAGAGGTTTCCTTGTGGGATTCGCTTTTGACTGAGGGGCCTTTCAGGACTGGAGGCAGCTTGTCGCAGCGCTGTTGCTGTCGGAATACATCGACACATACACACACGCGCACGCACACATTCTCTATTCATTGCGCAGATAGGTGGGCGTGCAGAGTTCTGGCATTCTAATCTCGGCACTCAGCCGGCACACTTTCACAATTCAGCCAGCAGAACAACACGTTTCATGAAATCCACGAACTTTGAGCAATCTCAAAGACAGTCGATCTCGCCCACAGCGCGGAAAAGACGACGGTCGGAGACTGCCGATGGTGGGTGAAGAAGCCCTGGGAGCTTCAATGAGCTTCATATTTTTCCGCAAGCTCCCGCCCTCTTGCCTTGGAGGGCTTTTTTACGAGACACGCTCGTGGCATTTGCAGTTTCAGAGGTCTTACGGTTCGCTTTTGCGAAGACATCAAAAGGCCACTGCTCAGCTGCTCGCTTCTTTCTTTGATCGCTTGCCCGCAAGCGCAGGATCGGGGGTTGCTTGACGCCTAGCACGTGCGACAGACTTTCCCGCGTGGGGTTGAGCCAATTTTTTCGGAGCTTCTCTCAACTTTTCTCCGAACGCAAAAGTCAGCCCCTGGAACAGGGCAGTCGCTCAGAATCACTCAGGCAGGCTTAGGTTTGGTTCAGGAAATTGTGAGTTGGGGGTTTCGGCCTTGCTGTTGAAGCTCAGGATGCTCAGGATGTCAAGGGCCACTTTCTACCCGAAAAGAGTCTTGGACGGGCTCCAAGCCCCAAGTCGAACGCATAGGGGGTTTGGGGATGCGATGTGTAGCCCGGAAGCCCCATGAGGTCCGCCGCCATGTCGATGACGGCATCTAAGGCCGCGGAGCTCATGCGAAGAGCCGGGCGCTCCAGTTGTCGGATTCTTGTGTCGTAAAGTTGAAGGGTTTGTCTGAGGACTGCGGTCTAGGCTTTCGGGTTTTGGGGCCGGCCTATAGTAACTTACTTAGTAGGTTTTCAATTTGAACGCGGGAAAAGCACCTCCAACGATGTCTGAGCCCCTCCTGGTGATATCTGTCCGACAATGCTCTCCACACCTGTGCCGGCGCCATGGAAGCTGCAATTTCGCAGGCTTTGATATGTGAAAAAGTCATGGACCGTCTTCCGGAGACATGGCAGCACCCGGGGTACCGGGTCCCAACAGCTTCGGTACTTTTTGCAAAGATAGGTCAAATACGGTTCTTCGGGCCATTTCACCTGCACCAGTCCCCAGAATCTGGCAGACAATAAATTTCCACCGAAAACTTGGGGTGCTGAGCGCGTTAGAGGCCTCAACATGAATGATGTGGAAGGGGGTCTCTGATGGCTTTGCCCCAGGCTGGCGGCGACCTTCCCGCACCCAAAGGCATCTTGAGGGTGCTTCCAAGCTTGGGAGTCGGCCTCGAAAAAGAAGGGGCAAACATGACTCTGTATCACGTTCAGGGGGTTCAGGGGATGGTGAAGTTTATGGGCGGAGGTATTCGGCAAGGGTCCAGTGGCGCCGTGTTGCTTCGATCCCCAGCAAACGAAGCTGATGGAAATCCACCAAAAACTCACATCCCTCAAGCCTCGAGCTTCCTCAAAAGGATCCTCTAAAGTCCAACCACCCAGTCCCCGCCGCGGCCCACGGAGCATTAATTTGCAGCCTCTGTAGAACACCTCAAAGAGGTAAGAAGGCGTTTTTTTCAAGGTGCCTCTCTGAAGACCCCGCGAAAGCTCTCTGGTTCAGCCTCCAGGGCGAAACCGAAATCCTCCTCTTTTTTGTCTGGGGCTCTGCCCTTCGTTGACGCAAGTCTCAGCGCCCCTGCCCCGTAATTATATCCTTCCTTTGTATGTGTTGACGCCCGTCCACCTGCGAATCTCGTGTACTTGCTATCCTGTCCTGGTTCCGGGGAGACGCGGTTGTATGGCCCATGTCTTGCACTCCCAGTCCGGGGTTTTGTGCCACCCTCAACAGTAGTGCCATCCTCAACAGTAGGGATTCACTTACCTTACAATCTCTCCGAGAGGATAATTCGATGTCCTGTAGGCACGATACCCAGGGTATCCCAATTCTGTCTCACGCTGGCCCAATAGACTGTCACTCCCAAAGGGCCTGAGCTCTGGGCAGGCCTGAGCACGAGCACCGCCATTGTGCCGGCAGGCAGTTGAACCCGGGGTTGGGGGGTGGGGGGGGCAGTTCGCAGCTTTCTTTTGGAGGGCTCTTAAGGATCAACGTGTACTCCACAGGAGTTTTTTTGAGCAATGTAAACCCATACACACCTCAGGTGGTTGGAGCTTCTTCTCAGGCCCAGGGCCCCGTACTCCTGCACCTCATATGCTCTAAAGAGCGCTTCTTTCGATTGTTTTGGGACTTCCCAAAACCGCCCAGGGGCAGCTGACGAGGACGCTCCTCCCCCATCCCTCCACAGCTGCTTTGCAGGTCCTTCTGGTGAGTTGAGGGGATTTTTGGTGCGGGCGTTGGAGGACCCTTTGGATTGAGCGAGTTGAGCGATCTACTGTAGGGCAACTCGGTGTCCCGAGGACGAGGAGTGGGAGGAAGGCGACGGCGAGTGGGAGTACGAGGGAGTGGGCTGCCCCCAGCTCTGAGACTTTGGGTCTCAACAGGGAGTGTCCTCATGGAATTTAAACGGCCAAACGCACTCGCCCCAAGCCAGACAGAGCCCCAAAACAAAGTCAATGACCTCCAGAAGCTGTGCCGTGTCCAAACTGGAACACCTTCCAATTGCCTCCCCGAGCTCCTTCCTGGTACATCCAAAACCTCTCCTAAGGGTGGGGACTTGAGCTACGACGATGAGGCTGCCGACCGCTTTGGGGCCTTCACATGTTTCGGGGTGTTTGGGAAGTTGAGAGGGCATGTCGAGGTTTGGTTGTTCCAATAGCCTGGGGAACTCCGGGTTCAAAGCATCTTCAGCCTTAAGCCTCAAAAACGAAACGGTGTTCTCTCCTCCCGTGCCGCAACTTCTCTCGCTGGATCTCAGCTTCTGGGGTTTGGCAGCAAATCCCAAGCCCATTCCGAAGAAGCATGTGAACCATCCTGGATGCAGGTAGAGCTGGTGGACGAGTCTGGGAATTACCTCCAGCAGATTCGGCCACAGATGGGCGGCCGGGGCCCTTCGGACCCTTGCGAAGCCTTGAAAATCCTTGAAATAGCTCTGGCCCTGAGGCCTCACTAGTAGTCGTGTTGAAGGTGGAGTCGTCCATGCAGGAAGTTGCCTGCATGCCGGGTCTGGGAGAGATTTCTGGAAACCTCAGCCCTGGTTGACGCATCCCGGAACAACTAATTAGAGCTAATTAGAGCAACTACGCCAGCCCTGCGCAGACATCCCGCTATGTCCCTGGCATGTTTTGGCTTGGCATAGCACCTATGCCGCAACAGTACACGTCACAAGGCCAAAGGCCCAAGAGCCAGAGCCCTCTGCCGTAGATTCTCCCGGCACCCCCAGGGCCCCCAAGCAGCTCAAGCACCTCAAGTCACCTCAAGCAGCAGGCCGCAACCGCATGAGGAATTGCGGGATTCACACCATCGAGTCTGGTGCCGAGCGGGCTCAGGGGGTTGTCGTCCCAAAACTGTGAAAGACGAATTGTGGAAAGCCCCAGAGCCTGCAAATAGTGAGCCATAGTGAGCCTAAACAATGATCGCGGTTGTTCATGTTGTTTTGAAAGCTCTTACAGCCGGGGCTGGTAGGAATGGTGCCCTTGCAGCCTCGACAAAATGTGGGTGTTCCAGTGGTGTTCAGGCTTTAGCGAGGGCACACACATGGCTGAAGTGTCGGTGGCCGAGGATTTACTATCCCCAGTTCTACTTCAAGCAGACTGAGATGGAGGAGTTTGACGCGAGGCGCACCGGGCAAGTGAGAGTGTCTCTCTTGACTCTGGGGCAGCTGAAAAAACTATGCGCCCTCTCAGCCGTTCTTAAGAACCCTTTACACAGGAGGCTGTGACTGTCCCACCATTTCAAGCCCTTTCTTTAGGACATCTTTGGACGATAAGCTTGTGCAGCATTGTAATCTGTGTTTCGCTTAGTGCCCTCCCCGCCCTCTTGGAGCCTTCCATTCGCAGGCCGGATCGCTATGGGCCGTCGGTGATCGGCAAGTACACCAAAGGAGCCCCCACCCGCACTCTAATCGCCCCCCAGAACACCGCCCAAGACTTCCGCCCTGGTCCTTCTTGGGGTTCCAAAGGCGAAGGCCCGCCTCCGCAAACACGAGCCGCAAACACGAGCCCAGCACCGCTTCACGCCTGTGCCCGCCTGTACCCGCTTCCTGTTCAGCCCGAAGGAATCGGTATGATCGAGGCGCGGTACTGCACTGACGATGAGGCCTGGGTGCTGTTGTTGGACCAAGCCTTCTCAGGATTGTTGGTGAGTCTTGAACCCCATGATCATAACTGCAAGGCAACACTGCGCCTTAGCCCATCTAAACTTCTAAACCCCCTAAAGTCTCTTAGGTGTTGGCAGATCGATGTTCGGCTCTGTAGGTTCGGACACGCGCATCTCACAGAAGAGATAGGAGATTCTGCAGGACCCAGTGAGCTTTGCCATGACCGTGACGCATCGCCTGATCGAGCGCATGGACAAGGACCATCGGGGTCTTAGGGCACGGATTCTTCTCTGAAGGTTCGGGGGCCCGACTCAGCAGTGCCAAGGCGCAGGGATTCCGTGAATCAGACAGATACTGAGACATTTCTCAACCTTGAAAACCATGCTTAAGAATCATCGCGGCAGAAATTTCAGGAAAGTTGAGACCGGTGGCTGCGGTGGCTACACCCCAAAACATCCCTAAAACCCTAGCAGGTCCAAAGGAAGCCTGAACCCGCGTCGTACCATTCAGGAGGGCTTCAACGAGACGTACAGATACATGCCGGCAGGGCTCTCAGCAATTAGAAGCCTTCCAACTCTCTCTCTCGCTCTCTCTCTCTCTCCCCCTCTCTGTCTGTCTCTCTCTGTCTGCATGTATGCATGTATGTATGCATGTTATCGGAAGTTTGATATGCATACGCGCATAGTATGCAAGCATGCATGCTGACATGCCTTTATCTGTAGGGTTTGAACTCGAAGGCCAAGAGCCCATGCCACTTCTTTGGCCTTGGATGAAGTCTTGCCTCCTTGAGAGAAGCTCTTGAGTAGGGACACTTCGACAACTCGTCATCCCTTGAAGCCCGCGTGAAACAATTCATCGGGCGCGCCTCCTGGGCGCGGAAAGCCAGATATGAAACAAGAGCAAATCCCCAAACCTTAGACTCAAGCCACAACGACTTCCTTTTCAAGCCCTAAGCCCCTAAGCCCCACAGCCTTAAGGATGGCAACCGCCTCCCCTCCTGGAACTCTGTCGGCCGCCTCGACATCGGCCGGAGCCCCTGCGAGGGTTTTGAAAGGCTCATGGAGGGGGGACCAGTTCACTTCGCAAGATTCCCAAGAAGGTTGACCGCAGTCTTGGAAGCCTTGCTGGGGCACTGCCGATCAGGGCTCTGCCTTACCTCTCAGCCCATAAGCCCCTAAACCCTTTCTTGAAATCGGGCAGATGTCCAGACGACTCGCGAGCATGCCCCCAGAAACACGATTCCTAGTGCATGGAGGCACGGAGAGTATCATCGACCGGTCGAAGTCGATGAAGGCTGTCGAGTGCACGGTTGAAGCCATTGTTTTCAGGGTGTCCTGATAAACGGTTTCCCCAATGGAGATCGCAAAGCCTGAGAAAGCCAGGTAGTAGGAAGGTGCCAAGACGGTCCTTACAGCAAACTCGTTTGTCAAGTCGTTTCGGCGAGAACATTGCCCAAAGCGGTGTTTGGTGCTTTTTGGGGGCTCTAAACTCTACTTGATCCCTTAATGCCGCAAGCTTCGCCCGGAAGTTCAGAGCGCCCACCTCAAATGCAGGCGTACGTCATGGACCTCTTCGAGCGGTACGGCAGCGGCGAGGTGCACTGCCGAAGTTTGATGGAGGAGAGGAGGTCTAGCCCTCGTGTTGATGCACATGTGCCAGCTGTGAGGCACCGAAGCAAACCTAGAAACCGCCAGCTTCCATTCGGATCCAATGGGCGTGACCACAGCTGAAGGCTGTAAGGACGCCACCAAAACCCCTTGATTCCAAGAATGCGCCCGAAGCCGGATTGGCGAGTTGCTCAGGGCAACATCGAGGGCGTGGATATGTACAACGCCTGCTATGGTGGCCAGGACTGGTCAGGGTACAACAAACGTATGATATGACATGGGTTGTCATGGTTTTGTTGAGGTTTGTCAGGCTTCAGACCTGGCATGTTATTGTTGACGTGTTCAGAGACGTGAGCTTGGATAGCCAGTAGGAAGGGCCACAGGAAAGCGCGTCTTTGCTTCAGCAGCAGCCAACAGCCGTACAATCGATACGAACCCATCCCCGGCTTCATGGCCCTAAGTGGATACAGTGTTGCAATTCCGGGCTTCGTACAAAGTCGTGTCCTCGCGGACAAGCCCCACTCACGTAGCTGAGGGCTGGTTTCTGAGGTGCTCTGCCGCTGAGTCCTAAGCCCAAAGCCCCAAAGCAAGAATCTTAACATCTTCCATCTCCTCAAGTCAGGCTGCCGGTTTGTGCTCCCAGAATTGGGCCCGGCGCTTGGCTTCCAAAAGGAAACGGAGACTGCGCCCCCCAGGCAGTGCGAAGGGGATCAGACGGGGGGTCTTAAGGGGCTTCGAACTCAGAGGGTGAAAGCTCAAGAACGTCACAAGGCAAGCTGCCGAGACTTGGGTCTGCCTTCAGAAGCCACAAAAAATGGGTTTGGCTTCTGGGGCCTTGTGTCCGTGGAGAGCAAGCTTCGGCACGAGAGGAGTTGCAGCAATCTTTGTCCTCAAAAGAGGGGCGCTTTGGCGCTTGGGATCCCAGCAGGGCGATACGGCTGCAAACATCATTTTCCACATGCCGCGGTATGGGCTGCTACTCCGCCATTGTCTCTTCTCAGCCGCGAATTCAAGTTCATCATTGATTGGGGGGATGGGCGCATCAGCTGGGAGATAATGGAGCTGCAGAACCGCCTCTGGACCAACAGGGCCGCTGCACTTGGTGCATCTTCGCATCATTCTGTCTCAAAATGTCTAAAACGTTCAACACTGACATTGCACAAGCCCGTCACCGGAGAACTATCACCTTCGAGGACAGTTGGAGAACATCAGAGTCCTTCCTCAAAATGCGCGCTGCCCTGGAGAAAGAGTACCCGGAAACCTTGCATCAAGGTCGCGTTCAAAGCCAGCCTAGAACATCGACAGCCTGAATCCTTTGAGACAGCCCCCCTTGCGTAAATCTCCACAAGCCTGAACGAAGCTCTTGAACCCCGTGCAAAAGGCTGAGGGCCTGCACTGCCACGACGTGTTCTGTGAGAACATCATGAACGATGTTCAGTAGTCAGAATCCAAACCCCAATCGGAAATCCCTCCAACTGCTGCAAGATTGAAACACTGCTTCTGAGGGCGGGGAAAACTAGACACCACACGCCGCAAGATTGAAGCCCCCTGCATCCTTCGAGGTCGAGTCTGATCGCTGGGACGGCCGCTACGGCGTTGCCATTGCACGCGGCTCAGACTTGTGGGCCACCTGCTTGAAGCCTCTCCTTGAAGATCCTTGAAGCCTCTCCTTGAAGCCTTTCCTTGAAGCCTTCTTGAGCTTCTGGTTTTGGGGCTTCTTGGGGGATCTTGGGGGTTTGGCGCGCCCTCTGACCAAGACCGCACCCTGAAATCTGGCAACCCAAGATCCTGGATGTTATCTGGAAGCAAGCCGCTCACCTGCAGGCCACCGACATCTCCGACGCGCCGTATGAGGCACTTTTCTCTGTTGGCGGGGGCCTTCTCATTCACGAGCGTATGGCAAACTCGGTGGTCAGTTGTATTGTGTTGCAGAGCAATGTGGATCGGCAGTATGTTTCGCTGCAAAGTGCAGCGTCAGACGCACAGGCCAACTCCTAAACTCTAATAATTAAATATTGAAGGCGTCATGAAAAACACACACACGCACACAACCAAGCAACACGCACACGCACACGCACACGCACACGCACACGCGCAAGCGCACGCGCACGCGCACGCGCACGCGCACGTGCACGCGCACGCGCACGCACACGCGCACACGCACACGCACACGCACACGCACACACAGTCACACACACAGTCACACACACAGTCACACACACAGTCACACACACACACAGTCACACACACACACACACACACACACACACACACACACACACACACACACACACACACACACAGTCACACACACACACACACACAGACACACACACACACACAGTCACACACACACAGTCACACACACACAGTCACACACACACAGTCACACACAGTCACACACACTCACACACAGTCACACACAGTCACACACACTTCACACACACAGTCACACACAGTCACACACAAACCACAGTCACACACCAGCTCACACACACCCAGTCACACACACTCACACACCACACACACACCCACACAACTCACACACAAACACACCACAGACACACACACACACACACACACACACACACACACACACACACACACACACACACACACACACACAGACACACACACACACACACACACACACACACACACACACACACACACACGCACACACACACACACACACACACAACCCACACCACACACACCACACACACACACACACACAGACACACACACACACACAGTCACACACACACACACACAGTCACACACACAGTCACACACAGTCACACTCACACACAGTCACACACACACAGTCACACACACAGTCACACACAGTCACACACAGTCACACACAGTCACACACAGTCACACACACAGTCACACACACTCACACACAGTCACACACACACACACACACACAGGTCACACACACACAACACACGTCACACACACACACACACACTAACACACCCACACACACAGTCACACACACACACAGTCACACACACCCACAGTCACACACACACAGTCACACACACAGTCACACACACAGTCACACAACACAGTCACAAACACACACAGTCACACACACACAGTCACACCACACAGTCACACACACAGTCACACACACAGTCACACACACAGTCACACACACATGTCACACACACGGTCACACACACAGTCACACACAGTCACACACAGTCACACACAGACACACACAGACACACACAGACACACACAGTCACACACAGACACACACAGTCACACACAGTCACACACAGTCACACACAGTCACACACAGTCACACACAGTCACACACAGTCACACACAGTCACACACAGTCACACACAGACACACACAGACACACACACACACACACACAGTCACACACACTGACACACACTGACACACACTGACACACACTGAGACACACTGACACACACTGACACACACTGACACACACTGACACACACTGACACACACTGACACACACTGACGCACACTGACGCACACTGACGCACACTGACGCACAGTGACGCACACTGACGCACACTGACGCACACTGACACACAGTGACGCACACTGACACACAGTGACACACACAGTGACACACACAGTGACACACAGTGTGACACACAGTGTGACACACAGTGTGACACACAGTGACACACAGTGACACACAGTGACACACAGTGACACAGTGACACACAGTGACACACAGTGACACAAAGTGACACACAGTGACACACAGTGACACACAGTGACACACAGTGACACACAGTGACACACAGTGACACACAGTGACACACAGTGACACACAGTGACACACATGACACACACAGACGCAGAGACACAGAGACAGACAGAGACAGACAGAGACAGACAGAGACAGACAGCGACAGACAGAGACAGACGGAGACAGACAGAGACAGAGAGAGACAGACAGAGACAGACAGAGACAGAGAGAGACAGACAGAGACAGACAGAGACAGACAGAGACAGACAGAGACAGACACGCAGAGCCACGCACACGCAGAGACACGCAGACAGAGACACGCAGAGACACGCAGAGACACGCAGAGACACGCGGAGACACGCGGAGACATGCGGAGACACGCGGAGACTCGCGGAGACACGTGGAGACACGCGGAGACACGCGGAGACACGCGGAGACACGTGGAGACACGCAGAGACACGCAGAGACACAGGTGCACACAGGTGCACACGTGCACACGTGCACATGCGCGTGCAAGCGTGAGCCTTGGGGTGCAGGATGCTCGCAAAGGGGTTCCTGGAGATGAGAAGAGTTGAGGAAAAAGAGGGGCACGACGGATTACGGATTACCCTGGCGTGTGGAATGAAGGGCACGGAGAAACGGCACAATACAGGCGCCAGGAATTCCCAAGCTCAAGTCCTGAATCTCGGGTCGAAAATGTGCCCGGTTCGGATGTGTCTAGCAGGATCCAGAAGTGCCTGAGTGTGCAGCAAGGTGCGGCGTGCACGGCTGCGCTGTACTATCCAGCCGGGACCTTGCAAGAGATGGCAGAACTGGCAGAACCCTAAAGTACCGAACTTTTGTGGGTTCTTAGGGGCTTGGGCTTCTCGTTATGCAGTGGAAACTAGCCCATGCACTGCTTGGGAGGACTCTGGGCGCGAACTACCAGAACATCCAGCACCCCAATGTGTGATGAATGCCACAACCCATCACAACCCCTTTCCTTTGAACTCCAAATCTTGCGCCCTGACCCCACGCCCACATCCCCAAACCCGAGAAGGCAGGGCCCACAAGACGTGCACACCCTTTTTTGGTGTTCAAATCAAGCCAGTCTTAGGCCTTCGCTACCTGGGATGATGATAGTTCTGCTTACCATGAGTACTGTTATTCCTGTTCTCAGTCGATTGCGGACTCTAGTTGTACTATTGACCCTTATGGAACCTCATTGATCCTGAGCTCCTCAATGTCGCCCCTCCGCCGTCTTCGCCGGACCGGCGCCCTCGCCGTGGCAGTCATGGGCGGACTGGCCGCCGTTCCCCCATCGTGGTTGGGGAGCCTGTCTTCCAAGTGCTCTTGATTTGCTGCTTAATGGCTTGAGAGTCGGAGGATGTTTCGGGTCTGATAGAGCCTATGAAAAAGCTTGGCAGTGGAGGTGGCTTTGCAGCCATGTCCGCCGCGAAGAGCAGTTTTCAATGTCCGAGCTGGCTCCTTTGCTCAATCAGGCGGAGGGTCTTGTCTTTCGAGGGAGGCTGAGGCGCGAAGGCTGTAAGCCATGAGCCATGCGCTTCAAGAACCCGAACACTTCATCCACCCCTCCAAGCGCACGGTTTGAGGAGCTCATGGCCCAGCTGGGAGCTCTCTTGCGTCCGGACGAGCCCGTCGAGGTGTGAGAGCCAGCCGTGCCTTGCAGAGCTTTCTAGGGGCTCGGCAGGTTCATGGTAAAGAATCAGGAGCATTGCACCCCACCCCGTGCCGGAAAGCAGCTATAACCCGAAAGCCAAAAGCCAGCCAAAAGCCATCACAAGCCAAAACCAAAAGGTTTGTGTGCCCATTGTGCCTTCAAACTCCCCGCCCAGTCCTTACGCTCGGATACTACCCGCCCTCACAGCGCTAAAGCCTGAAGGAGCTCTTCCGCAGCTTCCCTGGAAGCGGCCGCTTCCACAGTGGCCTGATGCCGGATTTGGCGACTTATGGGGCCCTGAAGGTGCGCTCAGGGCTAAGTCTGTCTAACTTTCCCTCTCAGGGTGTCCCCTAAACCCCCTCAAAGCCCAAACCTCGCCTGAGCCCTCTCAAGCCGAGAAAGCTCGAACCCAAGGCGCCCGAGGCGGGTCTCTTCGTGGAGTACGATGGCCACCCGTGCCACCAGTAGCCTGGCAGCTCTTCGAGCCAAGGGGTTTGCGAAGTTCAGGATCCAGGATGTTCCAGCATGGAGATCGTGGGTCCGTGGGTGCTAGAAGCCTGGGTAACTTGCGAGGGCCTTTCAAAGGTGTGGGCGCAGTCGAACCCCCATGTAACCCGCTTTGGAGCTTTAGGACTAGGACCTGAGCAGCTTGCCGCTTTCTACCGAGGCAGCGCTACGGGGACAAAAGGGACTGGCGACATGTCTTGTTTCGAAGAGCCCCTCGTCGCTGTCACAAGTTGTGGTCATGCAACCGCGGACATCAGATAGGACCGGGCGAAGAACGCCGCGCTGCTTTCTCTGGCGCCTGACTCCTGGGTGGCTCCCCGTTCGCCACTCTTAGAGATCCTTTTCTGTTTTGGTGTGAGGATGTGTGGAAACAGCGCCTAGGAAGAAGGCCGCAGGTGCTGACCTTCAGACCCCGAAGCCCCAAAATGTAGAACATCGTGGACGATCTCACAGACATGGCTCCAATGCTGCTCGCAGTCCCGAACCCAGACATCCTGAACACCCCAGACCGAAAACGCTAGAAGCCCTAGAAGCCCTACAAGCCCTGAACCCAGGTCCGCATCAGCCACGGCGACCGCCAGCCCATGGGACGCAATGTGCTCAGCGTCAAGGAGCGGCCGAAGTTGCTTCGGGGGCTTGGGGGGGGGGGTTTGGGGGTTGCTTTCTCGGCGGTGTGGCCTTTGTGGTTCCAGGCCTTGGGCTTATGTGTGTGGGATTTATGGAACGTCAAAACCTTCAAGAAGCACTTGAATCCCCTAGGCCCAAAACAGCCACGGCCACAGTGAGGAAGACTCCAAGGTCTCGTCAGTCCTGGCCATGCGTGGATGTAGGATGATGCAGGATTGGCATGTGCGTATCCATGCGTATCCCTGATCTCTGGCAAAAACCTGCCAGGTGAACTTTTGGCAGGGTGAGAGCGACCAGTCGCTGACACGGACGCTGAGCGAGGCAGGGCCTAAGGGGCAAAACGGCAAAACGCCAAAAGCGGGGGGAAATCCAAGCCCACGCCTCCCCCCCCGAAGCTTCAAAAGATCAAGAACGGCCCAAGAACCTCCAAAAGAACTTGCACAGGGCTCCAAAAAAGCCGCACTTCCCCAAAAACCCCCAAGAAGGCTCGGACTGCTCAGGTCATCCAGCAGATGCTGTCAGGACTTCGCTCCGAGCTCGACCCCGGTGTGGCCCTGCGGCTGCTCCAGCACCAGGCCCCGCCAGAACTCCTGTTTGGTCTCTTTGGGGGGGAAAAAACGATGTAGGCCAATGTAGGCTCAGGATGGCTCAGGCACGAAACAGAATGCTTCCAAAGCCGGAGCTCCGCAAGCCCCTTAAAAACCGCCGTGGAGACGGACAGGCTTCCAACCGGCTGTGCCCCAAGGCCAAGGAGGCAGCTTTGTGCTGAGGCGTTTCAGTCGGTGCTTGAGCGCAGTGTAGTGGAGCTTTGTAAACCGGGTTTTTGTTGCTTCGTGAGGTGCGGAGCTCTACAGCAATCCTGACAGTGTCTTAGAGGGCTTGCGGCTGAGTTCGCGCGGCTTTTGAGAGAGGCTTCCAACCCTGTGGTATCAATGGAGGTTCATACCCCTTCTCTCCCAAGAAAATCTAAACTGGAAGAGATGCTCACCCGCCCTTCCCCAAACGAAAGCTCCACGTGCTTTGGCAGCACTGGGCGCTCTTCTTCAGACCTAGGTGAGTCCTAGATACCTGGAATCGCATGCTTTGCTGTTCATCAAGCCCCACATCTACCTGCTCAACAAGCCCCACCATCTCGTTCGGAGGCCATCACGCCTCCCTTCAACCCTGCAACGAACCCCAAGCCGCCCTTGCTTTTGGCAGCTTTGACAGTTTGCGGAAGCTGCGCTCCGCGACTGCCGCATCCGTGCCAAAAGCCCGCACGACGCCTCACAGGAGACCCCAGGCAAAGGGGCTCAAAGAGCATCGGCACCTGTCAGACCGTCAGACCCCATTTGCTACAAGCCCCCCCTCAAATCCTGGCTGTAAGCTTTGATTGCGCGTTGCTGCGGCAAAGTTAAAAGGCAGAAGATGGCGAACAAGTAGTTTCAAAGGCTGTCGGGAAGTTGAAGGTCTCATGGTCTCATGGTCTCATGCGCTGAAGCCCTGAAGTCGTGAGCCGTTCCATGGAAACGCTGTCCAACACATAGCATTCGTACATCTGTGAGCCTGAGACAACCTTGTTGATAGGTGTTCTTCCGGCGTATGGCATAAGGGAAGAACAATAGCCCTCCAACCTCGACCCCAAAAGCATACGAAGCCACGACCCGAAAGCCCGCAGTCCGGCAGCCATCGCAGGCCCTCCACGACCTGCTCGGTCATACGCCAATCTCTGATGCTAGTCACCCGACTGCAGTAGTCGCTACTGCATTGTTGTGAACAGCTCCAAGGAGCACATCGCACACAAGCAGAGCATCTGCTGTAGCATCTCGTCCCTACGTAAAAATTAGCAGGGCCTCTTCGCAAAGACAATCGTTTCATCCATCAATCCGCCGGTGAGCAGTATTGTGTCATGGCTGTTGCTTTCAAGCCCCTCCCTCCATCTCGAAGAATGGGGTGGGGGGCTCCGTTTCTTTTTTGGGGGGGGCGGGGAGGTGTGTCCTGAACCCTGAGAGCTTGTCCTCTTCCTCCTCTTCCTGGGGTCTTGAGGTTGAGGCGACCCGCCGTGGCGGCTGCTCCCAATGTCCTTTTGGACCGTCTCGAGGTCGGGTGACCCTTAGGCACTAGGCGCTCGCTGCGCCCCAAGCAAGTTGCATCCGCCATCCCCAGGCCCTTGCATCCCCAGGCCCTGAAGGCCCTGAAGGCCCTGAAGGCCCTGAAGGCCCCAAAGGACCCAAACGAGTTGAAGAAGTCCCGACGCCTGAAAGCCCAGCCCCAAAGCCCAGAAGAAGCATCTGGGCATCTGGGAGGCCGGCCGCCCTCGGACGTCCACCTTCCCTCATCTTCGAAGCCATCTCATACGTAGGCACATGGAGTGTGCCCGTGACAAGGCAGCCTTTGACCTCCAGGACAGACTTCGGGATTCTGTCGTTTGCAGCTCCTTCGACGTCAGAACCCGGTTGAACGAAATCCAGCCTCAGTCCCCGGTCGACTCCCCAACCTCTCCGAACTTCATCTGGGCCAAGAGGGGTTCGGTAAGGAGCATGGGGCCGATGTCTATGCAACTGTAAACAACCTGTCTATTCGCTCGCATTCCTGGAAGAGTTCCCCGATCCGAAGTTCTGATCGTTCTAGTAGAGGTCTGAGGTCACGTTTGCTGCAGCCCTGTAGCTGCTTCAGGACGACTGCCACAGGCGTCGTGGCTCCAGGTGACGGTGACATTGCGCCGCATGATGGGACCAAAGCACGTCCATCAAACTCCCGCCCCACCCCTCCCTTGAGGTTCAGGAGGGGTTCGGCGCGTTTTGGCGGGATGGTGAACCCTGGCCACCTTCTAAAACCCCAAGGCCCAAAGTTGCTGCAGAGATCGCAGCAAGGCCTTTGCAAGGATGTTTTGCGGGAAAAAAGGGTGCGAGGCTATCAAGGCTGCCATTCCAGGAAGCCCCGAAGGTTCCCAGTGATGGGCAGGTTATCAATAGTGGCTGTGTGTAGCGCTGTCCAGTCTCGCAACAGTTGCCTGTAAATGCCGCACGGGCCTCTCGAAGACACAGAGCCCCAACCCCTGAGAGAATTCTCCAAATACTCCAACGCTGAGCTCTTGAAGACACCACTGCCTGACACGCTGGTGCCGAGGACGCACCTCTGCCACACCACTCGCACCGCGCCTCCTGCATCTTGCACCGGCCTGGGGGCCTGAGGGAGCAGCCCCCAATTTGGGTGCCGAAAGAGTTTGGGGGGTTGTTTGGGGGCTTGTTTGGGGGGTTGCTTGGGGTTGGGAGGAATCAATGAGCTTAAAGACTTCAACTCATCGGTTCAGAAGGTGAAGGTCTCAAGGGTTAGGGCTAGGGCTTCAAGGGTTTCAGAAGGCCGATTTATAACGTGCCCTTCCTCTCGAGCGCTGGGGGCGTCGGGCCCCAGGGCCCACGAACATCCTCAAGCCAACTACTTTTCGAAGGGCCCTTGAACTCAAGGGATCCTAGAGGCCATGCGACATTGTCCTTCTCTGACAAAGCCGTCAGCAAAAGAAGTCGGAAGAACGACGCCCCGCAAAGGCCTCTTCCCAAAGAACTCGAGGCCAACTGAAGCACGACACGACCCGCCAAGCACCCCAACAGCAGGTGAAATGAGAGCCACTAGAATAGGTTGCAGGACAAATAACTAAGGCCCGCAACAACTCCCCTCAGGTTTGACTTTTTCAAGCCAGTGGGCTGGTTCCACATGGGCCCGGTGGTGGACGGCAAGTGCGCCATTCAATCCCTCTGAGTTCATCCCTCTGAGGTGCTGACAATGATTGAGCTGTTTCTTTTTTGGGTCGGGGGTTCCCTGTGAAGTCTTCTACAGAAGAGGAGCCCCATCAACTGGATCTCGCGGTGGCTTTGGGAGGTACAGCATCGATGCCTACATGAACTGTGTGGACGCCTGCTACCAGACGCTCAAACACAAGATGAACGGCAGGCCTGTGCCACGAAGCAATTCTGAACCTGTGAGCTCTGGAAAGGCACAGCTGTCGGACGCCTCGCTAAACCCTCGAGACCGCACATAAAGGCAAGAAGGTGCAGAGCTTTCGGCCTTCAGAAAGGCCGGTTATGGGCCCCACAGAAGGCCAATATCAACTTTGTGAGCCGGGGCTTGCAGGCACCAGGACACATGACACGCACTTGTTGCGCTCTTCGCGGCTTGACTACGTTGCCTTCAGCTCATGACTAAAGAAAGAATAACGCCATTCCTTCCAAGCAAGGAAGGGGCTTGTCACACAGCATCCTCAGCGCATACTGAGCTTTCGCTGTAACAGGCCGCTGCTGCAGATCACCGACTACAACGTCTTTCACACAGGACGGTTGTTTGTTTTGTTGCTCCTTCCCCCTCAGGCTTATGTGAGCTGTCTTTGGGCCAAACCAAGAAGCCCTGCGTCCAAGCAAACTGACCATGTGGTGGTCCACCAGGATATCGTGTCCTCCAGAAAGTAGGGCTCTTGACCTGGCACTCCTCCCTCGCATATGAAGCCCGAAGAGCTGCAAGCGCTGCTACAGAGGCGGCGGCTACCACGTCGTCAAGAAAGCGCGAGGGACTTACAAAGCATACAGCCGAGGATCTTAGGAGCATGTGGAGTGCAAGAAGTGTATTTTGTCACAGTTTTGCCTTACTTGCAGTAGGGCTGTTGAGGGTTTTTGGGCTCAGAGCTTTGGGGTTGTGAGTTTTTTCGCAGCTTCGAAGGCTTTGAAGCTGACAAGCGCGCCCTTCCCAGAACTCAATAGGTTCCGCCGCCATCCTTACAGCTCAGAGGCAGAAGGCCCGTCACATCTTCTGGTATCCAGAGAGCCTACTGCCTGCCTAAGGTGGACAGTGGGGAAGGGGCCGGACTTGAGCGCCCTAACGTAACACTGGTTCCCCATGGTTCCCCCATGGTTCCCCCATGGTTCGCCCATGGTTCCCCCATGGTTCCCCGATGGTTCCCCATGGCTCCCCACTCCCAGAACCATGCAGAATTCAAGGTTGGCCCCTGTTTTCGCTCTTTGCCGAGGTTCGAACGATGCATCCGAGCAGAGGACCCGAAGACGAAGGCAGCGTGGATGAAGGGGATGTGGTATCCCCGGGGAGGGGTGACGAGAATTGAGTATTGTTCTTTTCCAGGTCATGTGTTGAAGCCGCCTGGCTTCAAGGATCCCTGGGTTCGACTTCCCGGGCCCAAAGCTGCCAGAAGTAACGGATCTGGCACGCCCAACTCTCGGAAGCCTAAAGAAAGGCCTTAAGCAGCCCCCAATCTGGCGACGCGAGGGCTCTTTTGAGCCTTGAAGCCCATTTTCGAGGCGGACGTCCGAGAGAGGTACGTGGCAGAGAAGCTGCTGCCCTCAGCACAGCACCCAGCCTTCTGGGGGGAGTTCGGGCGAGTTCGGGTCTGGTTGAGGATGTACGGTTTCGGTTTAGGGTTTTGGTTCAGAACCAGCACGTGCCCGGCACCCCAGACCCCGAACTCTCGCCGTACGCCCTAAATGATTAGGAGTTCCCCCCTCCCCGAAGCCGCGTCCGAAACCACTTTAGTCGCAGGTGTGTGGGTGCAGCTATGGGCCAATAATGCCTGCTTTGCAGGTGAACCTGCTCAAGGTCATCGGTCCGTGCCATACTGCCGGGAGCCCTGACGTTCACCCCGAAAATCCTAAGCATGTGAATCCTCTCAAGGCCCAAAGACACGAAGCCTTCGACCTGGAATCAAGTTCTTAAGCCTTCAATGCCTTCTCACGAGCCAAGCAAGCCGGAGTCCGGCCCTGAGCCCGGGCTCCGGAACCCGTGAATTTCGAGTGATCAAGGCTTGTGTCTCAGTTTCGTGTTTGAGGAGATGGGCGTCAGAATGTCTGACTATTTGGCATTGAAAATTTGCGGTGCCAATTATGCACCCGGACCGAAGGTGTCATCTTTCCTGAACATCAGCTCTGTGGTGATGACGAAGTGGGATGAGGCTCGAGCTTTTTGTGCAGGATTGCTCAGGGGTGCTGAAGGTTGTTCTGAAGCTGTGGGTTCAGGGTTCGAAGCGAACTAATCCCAAATCGTGGTCACAATCCCACATCAGCAGTTTAAGGACGAACGCCGCGGGATTCTCTGTGTTTTCGTTTCGGGGCTTATGGGTAGAGCAGCTTTTTTTGGCACCGGCGCTTCAGTTCAGCCCGCGTGAAGTTCGGCGATTCAGCCTTTCAGATTCGATGTGGCCCTTCCTGTGTCCTGCGACAAGAGGCACTTGGGAAGATTCTTCTGGTCTTCACCTATGGCTCCGGCTGCGCGAGCACCACAGCTGCATGAGCTGAGAAGACAGGGATTTTGGCTCTTCCTGAGCAGTAGTATTTGAAGGGCTTCTCTGCTGCTTTTTGTGGGGGTGCCTCAGAGCCCAAGCTTGGTTGACGGTAGGGGTTGTTGTGGTTTGGGAGTTGACTCGGGTTGGGGATGTTTAGGGCTTCTGGGTCTGGCCATTGGATCAGACCCTCCAGGCCCCAGGCCTTGTCAGAGCATCACCATCCAACTTACCGCTGCATACCCTTCATCCCTGGGCCCGAGTGTCCCACCACACCATCCCACATCATCCCCGTAAGCCTTCGGGAGTGCAAGATTGTGTGTGTGTGTGTGTGTGTGTGTGTTGGTGGAGGCTCCATGTACCAGCTACGCTTCGATGACATCGCCTGGCCGCTGGTCTCGGCGTTCTCAGATGGGGACTCCGAGTTTAGGGGGGTCCTGGAACCCTTCCCCGGAGCTGAGGTTTGACCCGCTGGCCATCTGGAAGGTCAAGCAGTTTTACCGGAATGTCCTTGAGCTCGGCGGGCTTGGGGGTTTGGGTTCAGGGACGGCTGGTTTAGGCTTGGAGGATTTCACGGAAAGCGTGTTGATGCTGTGCGAGATCTTCGGGAGCAAGCTTCGGCAGATTCCCCTTGCGTGCTAGACCCTTAAACCTGAGTAAGGGCACCTCTACGGTCGCCAGGGCCGAAAAATGTTAGATCCTCCATCTCCGTGGTTGTGCCCGATTGTTTGGGCGCAAGCCAGGGCCTTTCTGGCCCCCGGGAGATTTCTGAAGCCGAATTCGCACCCTGAGCCTTGCCAAGGCCATCCACGTGCGACCAGACCTGCGGATGCATCAGGCCCATGCAGCTTCTGCAGCTTCGGTAAGCTTCGGTGAGCTTCAGTGAGCTCGGTAGGGCCTCACCAAGTTGTAGGAGACTTTGGCAGTTTGGGAAGCGAGGACCTTCGAACCCTCCCCTGAAACTCTGCACGTCTTCTCCCCCACTACAGTTTCCATCATCAGTACTCATCAAACATCAAAGTTTCAACTGGACTCGACCGTGATGCTTGCTCAAGAATCCTGTGGTTTGCTGAAGGACCTCCCCCGCTTCTCTCCACATGATCGAGTGTTTTGCCTTGGGTTTGGACATGCTCGTTTTGCGCTGCAATCGTTATTACCGGCGTATCGTGGTGTTTTGTCGGAGCTTGAGCCCCTAGACGCGGAGAGAGAGATATACATATATATTTTTCTCCCAAAATCCAAAACCCGACTGCGAAGCTCGAAGCCGACACACCTGCAAGAGTTGTCGCTATCGCCCTACCAGTCTCGAAAGCGCAGGTCTACATCGACACCTGGATGAAGTTCGACTACAGGCTTTGGGCTTGGAAACATGTTTTAGGGAGATTTGAATCGAAGGGAGGGCTTTTTCTCCTCTGCCTGACAGGCTGACAGGTGTTCATTATCTTTTCCGCTCCTTTTTTGAAATTCGGTTCAGTGCTTTAATCGATGCGAGAGGTTCATTGAATTCATCGGGCATTTCTTGCGAAGTTGATCAGAGGAATGGCTCTCGGAAAGAAGAAGACTTCTTCACTTAGTGCTGAAACCAAATGGTACCTGCAAGTCCCAAGCCAGCCCCAGTTAGGCTGTCTGCAATGGCACTCAAGGCCCAACGGGCGCATCTCTTTCGGCTTCGGCTATGAGACGTACGAGCTGGTGCGCCGTGGAGGGAAGGGAAGTGCAGCATTGTGCGGGGAGAGATGTTCTTGGGATTTGTTTATTGACTTTGTTTGTTTAAGGGTGCGCTTCTTCCGTGAGCAAGTTCAGCAAGTTCTCCATGTTTTAAGAGCTTTTCAATTGGGTTTCTTGAGGAAACAAGGCAAGAGAAGCCCCACGCCTTGCATCACAGCTCTCATTGATGACTCGGGACTTCGTTCCTGCAACCCAGGCAGATTCGAAGCTCTGAGCCAATTCTGCCGATCCCGAGGATGTCTACTATTTGCTGGAGATTGATCCTTGGGGGCGACGCTTTTACCACCGCGGCGGCATGCGCACAGGCGTCTCTCTCGTTCTCTCTCTCTCTCTCTGTGTCTCTCTCTGTCTCTCTCTCTCTCTTTCTCTCTCTCTCTCTCTGTCTCTCTCTCTGGCTCTCTCTCTCTCTGTCTCTCTCTGTCTCTCTCTGTCTCTCTCTCTCTCTCTCTGTCTCTCTCTGGCTCTCTCTGTCTCTCTCTGTCTCTCTCTGGCATTGGCATGGCTCACAGGGTTTTGAAGGCTTGGGGTTGGTAGCTTCAGGTGAACGGTTAGGGGATCTAGGGCTCATACTGCATCTGTTTCATTACCTTTTACTTTCTTTTTTGTGGGTGGGCGCGGTTCGATATCACCTGCGGGGTTGCCAGGCCCGATGAACCGCAAGGTCATGAACGCCAACGCCCTGAACTACGACAAGGCGCGCCTCGATGGGCACCGCACCTTCAACCCCAGAGGTCCCAAACGGGTGTGTTGGTCGGGATCCGCAACGCGGCCTCGTGTCATGATCCGGTCGGTTTCACTGGGGCACTGGTGGTCTGTGCGGACGGCTTTCGCTTTTTTGGGAGTCTAGAGCCCGCTTTCGGATGGTGAGAATTTTGGCAACCACAAAGTTGTAATAGGGAAAGGGATATCAGAACAAGTACTACAACTTCCTAGCCCCAAGATTAAGTTTAAGGACGACCTCAGGTGGAAAATCGCCACACGCGCGAGCACTTCGGACACCTGCCGTCGGGGGCTTTGCAGAGGTGCAGAGTGGTGCGCAATGTTAATAGCGGACGAGCAAGCTGCCAGAAGATCGAGTTAGAGGCCATTGTCCTTAGTGCTTCCTAGCCACTCAATAAGCGGGAGTGACACCCAATGTCCTGACAAGGAGGTAGGAATGCCTTGGGCAAGAGGGAATCAACCTCCTTCAAACACCCTGATCCTCAAGCATTCTCCGAATCCCCAAACATGGAAGCAAGGCCCAACGGCGAGGCTTGGGAGAAGCAGGAGAACAAGGCTGGGCGCTGGAGGTGAACACTCCGTAATATGAGGTAGGGTCGAAATTTTTGTTGTGAGGGAAGAATTGTGGCTCCTTAAAAGATTGGTGTGTGTGTGTATATATGGGGTGTCCAAAAGCAGCATTTCCTAGGTTTGTCCTCTTGCGCCGCCCGCAGAAGTAGGAGCTGGCATTGTGAGTGGGAAGTTGTACACAAGTTACAGGAGGTTGTGCAACGCAATGATGATCTTCTCTCTCTCCTCAGATCTACTTAGTGTAGCTCACAGGAATGGGCAATCTGAAACAGAGTTGCATCACACAAGCTGCAAACTCGCAATACTCGCAAAGGCCTTAGCCGTCAACCCAAAATCCCAAAGGCCCTTAACCTCTAAAGCTGCGAAATTCCTGAATTTCCCCCCCCCCCCCCCCCCCTCCCCCGCCAACACCCTGAAGCCGTGAACCACGCACTTTGCTGGCAGGAGGAGAAGGCTGCGCGGTCCCTCGAGGACAAGTGGAGGCGCCGAAGTTTCTTGTAGCTCACGAAGCCCCCGAAGTCCTTAAGCGGCAATGGACCGACCCTTGGAACCTTGAACTGCCCAAAAAACCGGGCACAGGATTGTTGAGGGTTTGGGATTTGGGTCTTAGATGAGCGTCGATTCCCCAAGGCGCAGGAAGCTCAAAAACCGGAAGCTCTCGCAAACCGGCAAAAAAAACACTAGACGAGAGGCTCTCGACAGTGATGGCAGGAAGGGGTTGTGGTTTCACAGGGCCCAGAAAGCCTTTCCTATAGGCGCGAGAGGTTCAACGGTTTGGGGGGTCTCGTGTTCATGGGGGATTTGGGGTGTGGAGAACCCTCTTACGGCTTAGGGGTCTCTAACCGGTCTGGCATAGACTCAGCCCCGACGCTGGTTTGGGGTGCCCCCCGTGCTTCGAGCCCAATTACAAACAACACATCCTTATCAAACACATTTGCAAACAGTTCGCCTGGCAACAGTGTTGTGATTGACCTTTTGTATTTATTGCATACGCGAAGATGGCACAATTGGTAAATCTGATACAGCTCCCTAGCACAACAACAACTCAAGCAACCTATCATCGTTTCTATTTCGTATAACTCGTACTTTAATAGATTATCCACCATGTCACTTTGCCATGACAGCAACCCACTTAACGTGTAAGTTTGATGGAAAAAACGAAGACAAAAAGAGCTACTAACCACATTCTGATAGGTTAGTTGAAAAAGAAAATCGAAGTAAACAACGCACACCTTTGGAAAAGACGCCTCCCTTAAACCGCCCCCCCCCCCCCCCCCCCCCCCCCCCCCCCCCCCCCCCCCCCCACAAAAAAAAAGGAAGCTGAGCCAAATCTCCTCCAGCTGCCACTGCAGGGAGATCGAGCAGGAGATGACCTTCGAGCCCGAGGTGGACGCGGACGGCCAGCCAGCGGCCTCTCGGAAGCCTTCTTTGGGGTTCTTAGGGTGCCCCATGGTTCCCCATGGCCCCCCCCCCCTGCGGTTTCAAGCGGCGAGTTCGCTTGCAAAGGCGCCCAGCAATGCCCGGCATCACCACCGCATTCGCAACCCAGCTTTCAACCGTGTTCCCCACACGCGTCTGAACTCAGGTTGTCACAGAAAAGGTGGCCCACGGCCGCAAGGTCGTCGTTCGAGAGGCCATTGCGGCATGCTGTTGCGAATGGGTTCATGGTTGGGAGAGGCATTACTGCCGGTGGCTTGGAGGACTTTGAAGGTTAGGGGCTCATCAGGGTCTAGGGATATCTCAGGTTTTTCCTACTGGAACCTTCTCCTCTTTTCATTTGCTCGGTGCTGGTGCTGAGGTTTGGGGTTTAGGCGGTTCACAGTTGATGTTGTCAACATATGGACAGTCGCTACACTCGCCCAAACTTCGCGAAACTCGTTATCAGAGCCTCTCGTACTCCTGAACCTTCACCCGCCAGACGTAGTGACCCGCACCCCTGAAGACCCTCTGTCCAGGTTGGGCCTCCGGGTGAAGACGAGGAGGAAGAGGAGGGTACCGACCCCAGGAGCCGGCAAAAGCCCCCCCAGGCGTGTTTTCTTGCGCTGTTCTTGATTCTTGGGCGCCGGGGTGAGGGCGGCGGGGGAGGGGGGGGGGGTCGGGGCTTTTTAGGGCTTTGAGTAGGGCTTGCGGTTTGGGTTTTGAGGCTGAGGGGCACCCTGGAAGCCTGAAACCGGCCCAGGCCTTCAAGAGACGAAAATCCCCAACATCTCCTAGGGAGAAGCAAGCAACGCAGAAACCCCCAGGCAACGGGACGATTCAAACCTGGAATCAAACCTGCACTTAATACCACGCGCCGTGAATCCGAAGTGAGGTGAAGAGACGACCTACCAGATCGTCGGTGGGCAGCCTGGGAAATAGCGTTCAGGGCTTTGGTGGTCTAAGCTTTCGGGTCGCAAAGCTGCGGGTTTCGGCTCGGGGATTCACATCGACCTAGCCCCTGGTACTCTTCGCGTTGGAACCCCATTTTGTTGACACGCTGTTTTGGAGAGCAACGCACGCTCGAAATCGTCGCTTTTGGACTTTCTTCTCGGCTCGCGAAGACGTGAGAAGCTGTCGTTGCTTTTGTGGACTTCTGGGCTCACATGGTCTTCCACCGTTTGGGGTCAACGCTGGCAACAGTCAGACTTGTACAAGGCCTGGGCGCTCGCTGCCTCAGACGAAAATGCAAATCCGACAGCCTAAGTTGCACCTGGTGCCAGACCCCGCAAAATCCCCAAAGACGTCACACGTAGAGGTCCCAAAGCCGCACAGCAAGACCCACTGAAGTCTTCAAGTTCAAGTCGTTTCAGAACTGGGTTCTGGTACAATCTTCATTTCGTATTTCTTGCTGTATACCAGGAAGAACCCCATCCTTTCCAGATGCGTTTTCTTAGAATTTCCTGGCACAGCATTGACCAGGAATCGCTTTCCCATTTACTTTTCATGAGTGATGTGAAGGAAGAAGAAAACCGAGAAAGGGAACCAACCTTTGCTGTGCCATAGAGTTCTTCCGAATGGTCCAACGGCCGAAGCAAACAGCCCTGTATCCAAAGCAGCCTTTCCCGTGGCTAAACCCTCCAAGCTCTAAAGAGACCCCAGGAAGCTGGTCGGCCATGAAGGACGCTGAGGACATGACGAAGTCGCCTGCTGGGGCGTGGGGGAGCCCAGGACGGTCGAAGTTGGATCCTCGGCGATCCTCGGAAGCCAGCTTGTGTTTGTTTGTTTTTTTTTTTTTTTGGGGGGGGGCTTCTTCAAGATTGAGGGGTGCAAGTCCGCTTTTTGGGGGGGTTCTTGATCAAGGTGAGTATGCGATACTTTCAGTTTCAAAGGGGGGTAGGGTGGGCATTGCCAGCCCCAGCTCCAGATCCCAAGTGCCACTTCAAGCCCGGCCCCTTGGGCAAACTGCAAACTACCGCATGGACAACGTGCATGGACCCTGGGACCAACAACAGCCACCTCAAACACCGCTTCCGCCAGGTTTACCTACGAGGCTTGGGCGAGTTCCGAGCCAGCCCTTAATTGGGGCACTGGTGGTTTTAGGGCTTAGGATTTTGGGAGCTATCGGCCAGAGGCGGAGGGTGGGTCGGTGACATGGACTGGGTCTTGTCCTCGCTTATTTGCTTTCCTCTTCTTGTTGGGTTGGGGCTGAGTCGTTTAGGTTTAGGCGGGATCCACTGATTGCTTCCGGGTCTGGGAGGCGCTTCAGGCTCAAAGGCAGATAGTTTAAGATTGAGGTTCAGAGGCAGAGTCCGAAGTATGTATGTAGCAGGCTTCAGGCATCGTTCGCGACACAGGGTTTGAACCAATGCCGTTCTCTTTGCAACACGCGCCCTCCCCTACCACAAGCCGCTCCTCTGCAAGTGCCGCGGCACGCGCATTGCAGCAAACCTGGGCAAGCCCAATTTTCTCCTTGAGCCGGCAGTCGAGACCCGTGCCTACATTCTTTCTTCATCAAGATCTGAAGGCTTGAAATAGCCCCCCAGGCGCGTTTTTGGCCCTCCACAAGTCCTCTGCGACCGCAGGTGGCCCTAGGCCCCAATGGTTGGGAGCAGACGGGGGCCCAGCTTGATGAGGTCTTTCGGGGGGGGGGCCTCCAGAAGGGCTTGAGGTTGCTTGGGCAAAGGGTGTCGAAGGCTCAAGACTGGGACTCTTGGGGCGCCTCCTCATTCTTTGCTCAGGGGCGAGCTCCGGTTGCTAAGGTTCTACCTCCTGCGAAACAGCAGCTGGACCAAGAAGATCTATCCCGCCGTGCATAAGTCATGGAAGGACCATCCTGCAATTTCTTTGCTGCTGGTGCGCTGGGGGGAGGGCGACTAATTTCCATCTTGGGGGTTGGGGGGGGGAGGGGGTTCTACAGAAAACATCATACAGCAAAGGTGCAAAGGATACATCGGGTACATGTTACCAGTGGCAGGCTTACCATCCACATGGTTTGGGCAAAAGATTCAGCAGGGTGCTTTACGAACCATAAAATCTGTAATGTTGCGATGTTGAAGCACTGTGCGCCGCATGATTTTTCTGAACGTCGCCCAGCTCTGAACCCCTTTTTTAAATCCTCATTTGTGTTTTAATTTTGGTTGAGCTCTATCTGCGTCAAGGTGACCAAACATTGTTTGCACCTTCCTTCTCTCAAAAGTTGGTCTGCGAAACCGGTTTGATGATCTGTATCATTGTGCCCATCGTATGAGCTGTTGCCATCGGCTATATGCGTGTTTTTATGAGATTCTGATTTTGCATTCAAAGTTTCCAGTGAAAACAAGTCAGATGGAACTGCACCAGAAGTCCCACTACACTATCTACATCAAGTAATTCTAGATCATCTTCTGATGCATCAGCAATAGAATGAGTTAATTGTGACACATTCATAGAAATGTTTCAAACAACCTGTAGATTTCCCCTAAATTGTTTTGTGAAACAACATATTCTTTCATACTCAAGAGTGGTAGGTGGTATTGCAGATTTTTTTGGAACCCAGAAACAAGTAAATAATTAAGATATTCAGCAAGTTCTTGCGAGAATTACGAGGTCTACTTCGCCTAATATATGGTTTCATGCCAGTCTTCTTTTAGATACAGCGTGTCCATGCCCATCCAAACGCCCCACAGAGGCCCCCTGCAGCATGCGGTAAAGCAGGACATGCCTTGCGTGGGGCCGCACAAAGGAAGGGATCGGCCCATGTGCGGCTCCTGGCTGTTCGGGTTTCAAGTTTCAGGCGTGAGGGCGGTTTAAGGGGTGGCGTTTTCGGAGAATGCGTTGGGAAGTGTGAAAGCCTTCGGTCTGCTTCATGTTATGTCAATAGGATTCACCCCCTCGATATAGTCAACGACACGGTTGTAGCGGGTCAACTCAAACAAGAGAGGGAAAACTCACTCTTACTGGTCGAAGGATATTTCCGAGGCTTCTTTTCTCATTCGTTGAGTGCCATGGCTGCTACAAAATGAGAGGACGTGGATGTACAGCATTTTGCCGCAAACAAGTGGACGTAAATGGTTGTTGGCCTGTTGTATTTGGTGCACTTCCTGACTTCGGTTTCCCCTTTCCAAGTACTGACACAAATCGGAGCAATCACGAAGTGAATGAGCAATAGCATGGTGTCGTCTTGAGGATCCTGATCAGGGTCTGGAGCCCTCGTTGGAATCCCACGTTTGAGGACGTGGACTTGGGGGGAGGACGTCCCCAAGCCTCCCGAAGCCTCAGCTCGGCAACCTTTGCTGCGCAGGTGCTGGCGGATCTCTTGCGACCCAGGTTTCGACCTGCCGGGGGACGACGAGGGCCCGCCGGGCAGCAGGCGCCCGCCGCCACCGGCCCCACCTCTTCTCCCCCCGCCAAACCCCCAAACAAAAAGAGATAGAAAGAAGGACAAAGAACCAAGCACCCGGAGTTTACACAAACATTTTTTCAACGCCAAGAAAAGTCAATACAAAAGCTTTGTGCGATTTTGTTTGGCTTAGGGTTCTTCTGAAATCAGGACAAGTTCTTGCATGAGCCCGACGTTGAGATGTCACTTCGAAATCATTGATCTTGGTATGGTCTTGCAAGACTTGCGAGCTACCTTGGCCTTCTTGAGCTCTCTAGCCGATGAGCAAAAGGGCTTTCTTGGAAACTCTGTTTTTGCCGATGGTCTGCCGGTTTAGGGTCTCTCAGGCCTCATTACCAGTGCTTCCAAGTCGGCCGCAGGTATACCGTGACCTTCACCCCCGGCCAGGTGCCTCGCCAGAGGGTTCAGCATGTCAGCCCGGGAAAAGGGGTGTATTTCGCAGGCTACGCAGGCCGAAGCAGGGGCTGGGAATTCTGAGTTCTTGTGAAAGGTCTTCGATGTGCGGTCGTCAGTGGTGCTCCAGTGCCGTAGTTTTTGTTGCCTTCCCTTTTTCAAGGGTTGATTGGGCCCAAGCCCTAGACCCCACAAAGAGAGGCCTTTGGGGGGTGTGGCCGTCTTTTTCCTGGGCTGAGCTGTCACTGGCTCTGTATTCGAGAATTCCGACTCGGAGGTATGCGTAGGCATCCTGCGCCCCACAAGGAGTACGCAGGTACTAAACCCGAAACCCCAAACCCGAAACCCGAAGCCCGAAAGGCTCCAAGCTCCTTTGTGTTTTCGAGGTGAAGCGCTTGACCTGGGAAAAGATCGACGAGAAGCCGGAGCCACCGAAGGACACCGGCGTGTGGGGCGGCCCGGAGGGCGGGGAGATTGGGAGATTGGGATTGGGGCTTCAGGCTTCTGGTGTTTCTTTTTGATTTTTGGGTCTTGGGGAGTTGTTGGGGTTGTCATTGGGCAGCACCCTGGTTCAAGTCGGGGGTTGTGAGTTGTCGCGTTTGCACGAAGTGTCCCTCGCAGCCATCCATACCCTCCCCAGCAGAACCCGCCCTGCAAGAGCCATGCTTGAAAATCCTAAGCTCCAAACCCACAAAGCCTAGACTCCCTGGCCTCCCGAACCTGGAAGTTGCAAGAGGTACCAGCTGCTTGGCTCCTGGTCCGAATTCGAGCCAGTCGACATGTCCTCGGACCCCTCCAGGCGTCCCCTTTCGGGTGCTGGAGTTCGGGGTTGTAAAGGGTTTTAGGGTGCAGGCTCTTGGGGATTGCTGGCGTGTCGCTCCACTTCTGAGCCATTCATGAAAGTCTAATCCTAAGCCCGGAGCCCCAAGCCCTTGGGGGTTCACAGCTCCAGGATTCTAATTTCCCCAACTTGTACAAACTACCACAAAGATACTCGCAGGATCAAAGCCGCACCAAGACCCATATCCCAAAGCGGGAAGAGCCCTGGGGAGGCCTGGCCTCTACTTCGCAGAAGCCCAGTGCAGTGGGTGTGGGTCCCAGGGGGTGCAAGGGATCGTGAGGGGTCTCTGGTTCTTCTGGGGTAATGTACAAACATTCGGGGCCCGCATACCCCTATGCAACTCAGCAATTGATCAAATCATATCAAATCTCGGCTTGACGGGGTAAGGCTTTGATACCTAAGCCCAGTAAAAGCAAGGACGAATCTCCCAGGTCGAGCATGCAGTTCCACTTCCTGAGAAACGAGGCGCTGCAAAGCTGGCATGGGCATCGCCCCATGTAGGGTCTTTTCCTGCAATCCAGATCCCCCAACTCCCCCCCAACCCTGATCCCATTCCCTGGAGCTGGGGTTCAGGTGTTTAGGGCTCCGAGTCGTTAGCCGTGCTGGCTCGTGTATTCTAGTTAGGGGTCGCGTTGATAGTCTCCGTCAGAAGCAACAATCCTAGACGCCTTCCTGCAAGGTGGGTGTTTTGATCTGTCAGCTCCAAACAGTCAGTTGAACTCAGCGAGAAAACCAGGACACAACGACGTAAAGCAAGCGAAAGGCGAGACCTGAGCCCCAATATCTCCACTCCTCCATTGCATTGTCCCGAAGCGATCAAACGATCCTTTTGTGGAGTTCTGGTTTTCCCTTTGCCTCTTCGAAGCTCTTCTGTCAAGACTGCAGCCCCGCCCCAAACCCCAGTAAACCGCCCGAGCCGCAGGACCACTCGCAGAACATCTGCCCTGTGGTCGAGGGGCGCGGATACGGCAGCCTTTACAGCGCCGCAGGGCCTCCGAGATGCTTTGGGTTCAACTGAAACCCAAGATGCGGCTCACTCTGGGAGTTGACTGGGAGTTGAGGCTTTGGGGTGCCCCTCGCCCGAAACCCTCCGAAGGTTGAGAGAGGTGTTGGGTTTAGGCCAGAGGAGCAATCGAGACACAAGAGCACGTTGAAACCAAGCAGACCCACAACAACTCTCAAGAGTCGCACTGCCTAGTTGGGCCAAGGTCGCGCCTGTGGGGCACCAGAGCCCCGGGAGGCCAAGTGGGGTTTGGGGCCGGGTCTGTCTGAGTCTTTTGACAAAGCGCATCTCCCTTGGTCCGCAGACTGCAGACACGACTGGTCATGACCAGTGACGACGAACAATCTAAGCCTAAGCTTCTCATGCTTCGCGCAGTGAAGGCGTTCCAGTGCGGTCGTTGTGTCTATGTAAGGAGTACTAGCTGCGCAAGCACTTGCCCATGAGCTGCTCCTCTAAGCAGACAAACTGAAGCCGCTGTAAACTCGCCTTCCCCACCAAGCTGCTCGAGCTTGTTGCGTTGGCGCTCCCAAGTTGAAGTTCACATGTGACGAAGCGGAGAGTAAGTCTAGACTAGGATGTCTTGTTATCCAATTTGGGCGTCTTAGGCTTGATCGCACGTGCTCACCGCTTGCAGGTATTGGAACATCGATGCCGAAGATGGCGAGGTGCTTCTGGTGGGTTGATGAGGTTGCTTAGGGTCCAGGGAGAGGAAGGCGACCACTTTAAGGTCGTCTCACGCTTCTCACTCACTGGACTGTGCCCTTGCTTTCGACCTGGCCAAGAGGGATGTAGGTGGTATTGGGTTGATGGGCGCTGTCAAGACTGTCAAGCTGACAGCTAGCTTCTCACCCGCAGGGCAGGCAGTGCTCGTTGCGCTGCTTTCTGTGTTCCTTTTTTGGGTTTCAAGTCAGGACCAGGCCACGCCCTTAAAACCCCGACAGGGGGCCCCGAAGGTTCATGGAGTCGTGGAGCTTCTGTGAGGAAAAGCAAGGGTTCTTTTTTTGGAGAGCCTGGCGTGGGGATTTAGCAGGGCTTCGGGCTTCCTGTTGCCTTCGGCCAGGTGTACAGAATCGAGCTGTACAGGTCGCCGGAGGACTTGCCTGGAACTCAATGGCGCTGCAAGGCGTGAGAGCCCCAAAGCAGAAAACCCTGTGCTTGCCTAGCTGAGTCGACTCTGCAACTTCTACAGCCCTCCCCAGCAGACCGACCCACGTCCCTTGAGTCCAAAGACATTGGGTTGCCTGCAAGGAGCCCTTCAAGAAGCCCCACACAATTCTTGAGGAGCTTGCCCTCCCTTGTCCCCTCTCCAACCTCCCCCTTGCTGCCGAGTTCGGACCTGTCCGTCAGCTGGCACAAGGTCAGTGGAAAGTAGGGCTTGGAGGCCGGAAGCAGTGTCAGCGGTTTTGGGATAGCTGCTGCTTGGAAATCGAGGTCTCGATTTGGGCATGTTGCCTCCAGCCCACGCCCCCAACTCACAACTCACGCAGACCAGACCACAACAAGACTTAAAAACTTAACGCTGCAGGTTGGGTTCTCTCTCTCTCTCTCTGGAGTGCAGGCAGCGACCAGGAGCTGGACTGCCCAATCTGTGGCTTCATCGTTTCTAGGCCTTGATGAACAAGGAACCTCGTCGTCATGCCTGGCACCGCTGTTCGATTGAGCCGCTTTTGTGATTGCATCCTAAATGTGACTAGATAGTCCCAAGCTCCCGAACCACACTCGGAAAGTAGCGTCAGCACGTGCCAGGAGTCCCACACAAGGACACCCTTCCGAGTAGACGCTTAAGAGCTTCGCAAAGTGGCGCGCGGACAGGCTTCTAGAAGGATGTGCACAGAAGCCTTCGCATCTTGCACCCGGAAGATCCAAAATTCCCGGTACTAAGCCTGCACCGGCACACCATGAGGCAAGACATCAAAGCTACTTTGCAGAGGGTTCGCCCCGACCGTTCCGCGGAGGATGCAGCCGCTGGCAGGGACGGCTGGCGCAAGAGTCGTAAAAACGAAGCACACCCCCTGAACCCCTACAAGCGCCCCCCCCCCCCCGCCCCCACTGAACCCCCCACAGGCCCTCACCCCCTAAACAGCTCAGCCCTAAACCGTCCGCTGCGCTTTTGCGGCAATGCTCCTTTGGGGCCGGGGTCCACTTCCGTGCTTCTTCCAGAGCTGCCATGGGCCATGCCATACCGCTGCCATACCCCATAGGGCAGCTAAGGGCTTCGGAGGCGTTTCCGAGTTTACAGGCGTTTGGGGTCTCATTTTGGGTTAAGGCACAGTCACGCTAGATCCCTGAACCCGCGTGGGACCAACTTCTCAGATCTTGGTGCCGCAGACCCTGAACGCCTTTAAGCGCATGGCGGAGAACTCCATATCCAACCTGTATCAAGATCCCATCCTCTCCGTTGGGTGGACCTTCACCAGCCCTAAGGCCCTAAACTCTACTCGCTGTAGGGTTGTGGAGTCTATGGCTCAGCAGGAGCTCCGGCAGAGAGAGCTTAGCGCGAGTTTGTTGCTTTGCGCTGTTTGCCGCGTGCTCTCAAAAAGTGCCCCCTGGGCAGAGGTTCGAGCAGCTCAAAGGGTTGGTGCTTTTGCCCAACCTAACGTCCTCAGTTATCAACCCTGCATGACAAGCTCAAGGCATCGGCTCCCTTCATTCCTGAGTACAAAGAGTGAGCTCGCAGCAAGCACCCCCGAAATGAGTTAGGCGACTCAATTCCTGAGGGCATCCAGCATTCCAGAAGGGGCAAGTCTGGATGAGGCTTTCAGGGCCCCATGAATACGAGGCTCTTGGGGTGAAGGCTGAATGCAATGCTGCCGCGCTGCGTTGGGCTCTGAGGGAACCAGGACACTGCGGCAGTTAGAACCCTCCTATCCGCCCTCCGCGTCGGGGGCCCGGTTTGACATCGAGCTGTCTCGGATCTTTTCATTGGAGGACTCGGGCGTGTTCTCGTCCTCTGCCCTAAGCTCTTCAGGCCTCGGATCGAACGCAGTCTCGGCTTTGGGATTCAGGGCTCTAGCAAGCCCGGTTTGGACTCTCAATGGGAATACTCGGAGGAGAGAACAAATCCACTAAGCAATGCATTGTAAAAGCACTGGTGAGCATCCTGAAGCCTGCAGTTTCAGCCATCGGCCTTCCTAATCGCGCACACACACACACACACACTTAGGCTTGCCCTCTTTTCCCAGACTCGTAGACCCAAAGCCTACAAGGATTGTTTCGGAAAGGGCTCTTGGCCAGTTTAGGGTGGGGATCAGCGGTTTCAGGTTGGGCCTGGGCTCGTGCCTTGCACACAGGGCTCCAACAACGCCAACAGCGCCAACCACAAAGCAAATTCCGCAGCATTTGCCTTTACAAACCCATCGCTCTGCGGGTGGGCCAGCAGTGCCAGCAGACGTCAGGAGGCGGCCAATCAGACGCCGGGATGCATTACTTAGGTGCTGCGGGATTTCTGGATTAAAGCCCCACACGAAACCCCCAAATCCCTAGCAGCCCTAGCTCGGGCGCAGGCCTAAATTTTCTGTTGGCGCCAAATCAAGGGACCTCCCGAGCTTTCCCATAGCTTTGACGAGAGACTTGGTGCCCTCCGGCCGTCTAAGCCCACACTCCCCGAGCCAAACCTTAGATGTGTCCCGCCACAAAGGTGCGTTGGCATCATGGGCACCTGCAACTCTTGTGCAGCCGACAAGGAACTGCGGGGCCCGCCAGGTGATGAGTCCTTCGCGCCTCAGAGTTTCGCAGGGTTTCGCAGGGTTTTGGAGGGTTTGTGAGTGCGACGGCGGTGTGCTGCGAATGCTTCCTTGTTAGAATGGAGGAGGGGTGGCGGTCCGCACAACGGGGGGAGGGGGCAGGGGGGAGCGTGCGCAACACTGTATGCACTTCTGACCTGCCTCGTTTGGTGTTCGGTGCGGCATCTCCGATGCGAGTTGACGTTGCTTGGGAGGCATCGAAAGCAGGGCATGGGTCCCCAAGAAACGTGGATGGGGCACACCAGGTGCAAGAGCTCTATGCGGCACACGTGTGGCACACTTGTAACACCCAAGCAGCCCCTGAACCTCACGGAGCGGTCTACTGTGTCTATTGTTTGTGTTGGCGGCATGGAGTGCAGGATTCGCATCAGCTGATCATGGACCTCAGCAGGTTGCCCGAGATTTGGTCGCGTTTGAGCCTTTACGAGATGGGTTTCTGAAACCGCGATCCTCCCCCAAGCCGAGGAAAAAGCCGTGCCTGTCGATCCGCTTCTCAACCTGGGCGACTGCCTCTTTGATGACAAGGCGGCGTTTTGATCTCTGAGTCCGATTAGAGGAATACGGAGGACCAAAGGAGTCACCACATAAAAGCTCGAAAAGTGCCTTAAGCTCCACAATGGTCCAAGCCTCTGAAGCTTGAAGAGCTCAAGGCCCGAAGCCCTTCACCTGCGCGCCAAAAGCAGAAACCAACTCCAATCCCTAGCAACTATTGCTGGCCATACGCTGGCTGTACAAGGCAGAGAAGAGTATGTGCAGCACCTCGCAATCCCGATCCGGTCCCTCTGTGTAGGTTGAACTTGCCCGGAATTTCGGGAAGTTGGGGTGTGGCAGTTTAGCGCGCTTAGGTTTTGGGGGTTCCCAAAGGGATCAAAGGTTACCGAGCGGCTACGCTTCGAAGGTCACACAAACTCTGCTCAAACGCAGATCAGGGGTGTTCGTCCGACTCCTGAAAGCCGCCGTGAAACCTTGTGGCCCCAAGCCATGTGCCGTGAGAGAAGATACAGTGTGGGCCAAAGGAGGAAGACATTCTTGTTGGCTTTCCTGCCGTCTTCATCTTGAAGGGTGTTTGCTTTAAGGTGCGATTTTGTTGTCCGAGCCCAACATAGGGTTTGGGGCTTAAAGCTTTGCAGCCGGACCCACCGAGGAATCGATTCTTTCTGCTGGGGAGGGGGGGGGTGGGGAGCCTTGGGAGAGAGTTGTCGGAGGTCATGTCCGAGACGCTACCCAGAGACGTCATGCAGCGCTACCAGGCGCCCTGAGCAGAGAACCTTATTGTCCGAAGGAGGAGGTGCTTGCTGGAAGTGTTCGTTTCGGTTACAACTTACAACCCAGTGACAGTTTCGCAGGGAGCATTTCGGGTTGAGGGATGGGCTCCGAGAGGCGGATGTTGGGATAGCGGTGCACACGATGGCAATGCGTGTTTCATGTACATATGTCTACACGCAAGAGCTTGTTTCCCGAAGGAGTGCCTGATCACCGGAGAACCCACCACGGAGAAGGAGTGCCAAGTTTGACTCTCCCCCACACGTGCGACGGCTGAGTGTCAGAGACATCACGAGCCTCCTCTCTGAAGCTGCAGGGTTCAGCCAGTGCCCCGTCAAGCAAAGCGCAGCAGCCTCAAACCTTGTCCCCATCAGTCAAAGCTTCATTCCCAACGGCTCCCCAGCCTTGGTCCTAGGCCCCGAAGCCTTGTACCTTGCACTTTGAACCACTGCAGCTGCAGCCAGTCACACCCTCCCCCCCCACTCCCGTGTCCGTTAACCGATGCTAGACCTCCTGAGCTCTGCAGGGTTTACGGGTCTATGTGGTGTTCGGGGTTCCAGCGATGCAGCAGTACTAGCTGGTATACCTCACACATCCTCACATGCACACACATACCATCACATACCTCTCAACCCTCCTGAGACCAGGACCAGAAGGTCATTGCGGACCTTCTTTTCCAGTGGGCTCGTGAGCGAGGAGCGATTGACTTCGCTCATTGGTTCTTCCCGCTGCGAGGTGCGGTGCAGGGTTGTCAGATTTTGTAGCCAGCTACAGAGCCCCTACGGTTCCAAAAAGGGTTAACGAGGGGATCTCCGGGCACCGTGGTCTCAGCTGGGCCTCATTTGCTTCTGTTGGCGTACATCGTGACTCCAAGAGGCTTTGCAATTTGGAAAAGAACGCTGGCCTCCAACCGCCATAATCTCAACAGCGCCCATATAAATATATATATATATATATATGTATGTATCCTCGAGCTGAAGAACCCTGAACCCCAAAGCCCTCCCAAGCCCTGAATCTGAAAGCCAGTCGGAGGTGGAGGTGGGGCCGTGGGCGGTATGCTGGGCGCGTACAAGCAGGCATCATGGGATTTTCGACATCTCGAAAGTTTGGTGTGAGCGATTCTTTTCGTGAAGGAAGGTTGGAATCGAGCAGGATTGGTTGATTGGTTCTTCGCAGGCGGGAAAGTGTGCCATAGGAAGCAATTGCTGAAAAGCGGAGACGATCGAAGAAGTGTGGCGGCGGGGCGGGGGGGGGGGGGGGAAGTAGTAACGAGTGCTGTGGGGTGAACTCGGACTCGGCACGCCAGTTGTGGGAGGCCATCCTCTACTTAGCCTCAACGATATTCTTGGTGCTTGGCCCGGCTAGCATGCTTAGCATGATTTGCTGGATCGTGCGGCATGAGAGGTAGGAGCAAGTAGGGTTAAGAGACAGAAGAAGACGCAGATACAGACAGCAAGTGACAGAGAGCGCGAGGAGAGAGGGGTTTTGGCGCTGGAGCCTGGCAACACTAATGTAGGGGGGGGCTTAGCGGCTTAGCGGTTTTGTTGTTTTTTGGGGGGGCCCCCAACGGGGAGGACACGCTGATGGACCTGGACTTTGGCTCCAAGTTCACCACGAAGCCGATGAAGGCCAGGAGGATTTGAGCAGAAGCCTCCCTGAATTCAGATGGGCTTGAGGGGAATTCTTTTCCTGGTGCTGTGGGAGTTCGGCAGGCCCCAGGTTGCTTGGACCCCAAGTTCTTCCAAGCTGAGAGCCTTGAGGGGCCTAAGTCTACGGACTGCATCAACGGGGAATGTCTCGAGGCGTGCCTCCCAGCCGAGCGCCTCTTCCAGGGCGAGACAGACGGCTCCTCCTTCCCGAACGGCGGCGCCTGGCCTCCGATCTTAAGGGGTTTCGGATATTTCAGATATTTCAGGGATCCGGGATGCTACCAAAGCCTGGCTCCTCACTACCCACAGAGAATTTCACTCCTGCAGCCCAGCAGTGCAAACCTTCAAAAGTAGCCAAGCCAGCTCAACTGGCAGAAGGGAGCAAAGGGAACTGGGCTGCAGAGCTGCTTCGCCCTTGGACCCCAAGATGCCCTCCATTCGTCCATTCGAGGCCTCCGTGTGACGCACTCCGCCGCGGCTTTCACCACCTGGGACCGATCCTCCCCCCCCTTCGTGATGAGCCCCTTCCTGTTTAGTCCGTTGCGTCCTGCTGGGGGATCAGTATTTGAATGTGTTCAAAGGGTGGTGAGGTTGAGGGCTTTGGGGTTCAAGTTGTTCTCATGGACTGACAGCACGGGTCTGTCGTGCTGTCCATGTACCGGTGCGAGACCGCAGCATCCTGCGCTACACTTGCCCGAATTGCTCCCAAGCCCAGCGACACCGCACGATTCCGAAGTCCCCAAATCCATCCGACTGCCAAGCCGCTCAGGAACAAGACGCTCTACATTCCCTGTGGCGTCCTCGGAACATGGCGAGGGCGCTTTTTTGAGGAGAAATGCAGCTTGAGGGGCGGCATCGATGAGAGATGTAAGTCCTGGACTGGCAGTGATACCACCTCACGACAATCTTGATTTGAGGGTTTTCGTCGGAAGCGGTTCCCCTTTCCCTCCGGGGAGTTGCCGAGTTCTTTGCATGAAGTTTCGGGATTGGAGAAGCGCTTCTTGCAAGGTGCCTTCATCACGCACTTCGGGAAATGCATCGACGAGAAGACGCCTCTGCTGCGCTCCATGGACGCCGTGAAGACCCACGGACGCTGCGAAAGCTTTGGGGGGCACCTCCCGAGCCCGAACTCGCCCTGAACAAGCCCTTTCAAAGCCCTGAAGAGCACACGCGCAGGCCCTTGAGTCTGTGCCTCGCACACAGAGGGGCCTCTGAGGGGTGGATACACAAGGTGCCACGCCAAACCCTGCGAGCCCCTAAAGGCCCCTTGATATCTTCCTTGTCAAAGCCGTGGCCCCTGGGCCTTGCAAGGACTGCGCCTGCTGAAGGCAACCGGCCTGGGCAAGGATGCGCAGACCATCCACAGCTGCCCCCGTACATTCAGCAACGCTCCGTTTTCTGTGCTTCGGATTTTGGAGATTCTGGCCTGATGGGCTCCGGGGCCGGTCTTGTATGTCGCCCAAAGCCCCAAAGCCCGGAAACCCCAGATCGAAGGTGGACGCTCAAGCCCTGTGCAAACAAGGACCAAGACCACAGAAGGACGCTGTATTCCACGTCAAAACCCCAAGCATCCCCAAAGCTTTAAAACCATTTTCCCTATCAGAGCACTCCAGGCTTCTTGGGCTGGGAGCAGGAATTCTTCGTGGTCAAAGCTGAGCACTTCAAGGCCTGCGATTCTTTTGTACCCCCCATGAACAGTCAGAATTTCCACACGGAGAGTCCTCCAACTCCCTGCCGTCCCGAAGCCCGAAGATCCTGACGCTTCAGCCAGCTTTGCGTTCCAGTTTCGCAGGCGCGGCCCGACCTGGTCAACACCGGAAGGACGCTGTTCGGAAAGCTGCCCACACGCCGCTTTGCGCCGTCGAACGTGTGTGCTTGTAGGTTTTTTTGCAGTGCAGGGGTTCTGTTTGGGGTTTTTGTTCTGGTCTTTGGGGGGTTGCTTCTGCAGGTGTTGGGTGTTGTCCTTGCTTGCTTTTCACGGGCTCTCTGCTTGTCCGGTGCTTGAGATCGAGGCCATCAGCAGGGTGACCTGAACTACTTCCAGCCCATGCCCGGGAATGTGCAGTCGCTCAGCAAGATTAGGACAGCTCAGGGGTCAGGAGAGCTTTGCAGGATTTATCCATTCAGCTCAGGAGGGTTTCGGCTTTGGGTAGTTTGAGGATGTTGGGGTGGGTTGCCTTCAACCGGAGGTGCCTTCCCTCCCGCAGCTCAGGCTGTTGCTCGATCGGGCCCAGGCCGCGATGATCAAGGTCGGATGCCCCATGGCAGTGAAGCACAACGAGGCCAGTCGCTTCAGCATCCCCCTAAGGCCGATCCATACGAAGCAGTGTTTACATTACTGTTATTGGTGATGGTATATGTGGTGGTTCCTTGCCATTCTTGGTGAGATGTATGCATGTATGTATGTATGTATGCATGCATGCATGTATGTATGTATGTATGTATGTATGTACGTATGTACGTATGTACGTATGTACGCATGTACGTATGTACGTATGTACGTATGTACGTATGTACGTATGTACACATGTACATTTCCTTGCTTGGGGGGTACTCGCAATACAAGTCCGACCGCACTAAAACCTTGGGCCCTTAAACGGCGGATTTGATGGGGGCTCAGAGGCGGGCGCTTCACCTTTGAACGCTTTGCTTTCCCCCGTGGGCTGAACTAGCCTCAGTTTACAGGATTAGACACTAAAGTTGGAGCTCGGAGGCTTGCAGAGGGCTCAGGAACCGAGGCCCCCAGAGTGCCCCGACGAATTGGCACGAAAACCCTCCTTTCACAACGCAGGTGGCACCGGGTCAGCACGAGATGTCTCCGGTCTTCCGGACAGCCGGCAGCTGAGTTGTGTTGTTTTGCGTGTCTCTGCGAGTTGTGTTGTGTGTGTTGTGTGTGTGTGTGTGTGTGTTTTGTTCGGGCGCCGTTTCCAGCACATGTTTACTAGCTTCAAAACGAAACGCGAAGCCTTAGACTCCTCCAATTCGTTGTGCAAAGCCAAGCACAGAAAACGTGCAGGATGAATGAAATTCTATGTCTGCATTGCAAAGGGTGGTAGGAAGGATTTTTGTAGGCATGGTAGTTCAAGCTCTTTTCGGGTTTGGTAGGTCAGGCTTGAGGCTTTCAGGAGTGTGGCTGTGCCATTCGGCTTGGACTGGACAGACCATGCAAGGCGAACGTGTCCTGCGACAGCAATGTGCTTTTCATGGAGGTGCGGCGGACATCGGCACCTTGCCGATTGTGGGGTTTCCGAAATGGTTTCGGTCTCACATGATTGCATGCTCGGTGCATCTTGAAGCTCAGAGCCCCTAAGCCCCTAAGCCCCTAAGCCCTAAACCTTCAATGCCCACCTAGCTTCACACCCCAAGCAAAGTCCATGCCATGGCCTATGATTGAATCAGGCTTCACTTAAACCTCCATCCTGAGGCATTCGCGCCTCTCGCCTGGGTATGCCTAAGCCTACTCCCTAGACCCCCCCCCCAAGCACAATCAGAAAGCCTTGGGCCTCAGAGACGGCACCAAGTCCGTCACCAGTGAAGTCTCAACACTTGCTTTTGCAGCTTTGTTTTACGCAGCGCTTCTCCCTATGCAAGAAGCGCTCTCTGAAGCCCTACGACGCTACGAAAACACGACTCCGAGACTCCCCTTCTGGCAGGTGATGAACCGGGAAGCTGCGAAGCTCGGCTTGCAGGCCTCCGGAGCCCCTGTGTGCATCTCCAAACCAGGTTCTCATGGGCGCCTCAGACAGTTAATCCGGTTAGACCAGCCCCCACACATGCTCTCAACGCACGTTTCAGGGCGTTGTCTCCCTCCACCGCCAGGTTCTTTTCCATGAGAAGCCCTTTGCGGGCATCAACGGCAGTGGCAAGCATGCCAATTGGTCCATCGGAACGGACACAGGCTTGAGTCCCACTTTGAGAAGAGCATGTCCGTGTTTAGGGGGCCGTTATGCTCGGGTTCTGGAGGGGGAAAAGGCCTCCCAAAAGGTGTTGTGTGAGCCTCTCGCATCGAAAGAACAGAGGGCAGTTGCAGCTCTGGGGCTTAGAGCTTGCTGGTTGCTGGGAGAGGCCTCAACTTCTTCTACCCTGGCAAGAACGAAGAGGGCGTGAAGCTCTTTGTGACCGGCATCGCCTGCCTCACGCCCCCCGGTCTTGTCAACCCTGAAAGGCCTTCGCGCAGCCACGTATCAAGCCCTAGGTTTGCCCCCCCCCCCCTTGCAAATTCCAAGAGGATAGTGTAGGGCCCCCAGGATGTCCATCTCACCACCGAGCCTTCTGCCTTGCCATGCCTAGAGCCCCAAAGTCTTCTGACCCTGCAGGGGTCTAAGTTGGAAAACAGGTCCCAGGGCCAATCTTCCCCGAGCGTAACACCGAACCCTGAACCCCTTGCATCCCTAAACAAGCCTAAGGACCCCAATTCCTCGACACCTTTCAAGTAGCCCCAGAGGGGCTTGAGGGGCTGTACGGGCTTAGGAGCTTTAAGGGCTTTAGGGGCTGTTTAGGGCTTTAGGGTTGTAGGGGTTTAGGGTTTAGGATTCGGACAGCTGAGAAAATTGTTGGCTTAACTCATCGGGTTCAGCGAAGGCACTCGTTGGTCCAGCATGTGTGTTTCAGGCTACAGCCTGGATACTCCGTCCCCACCACACCTTGCACGGCCAAAGGCCCTCCTGTGTAAGGCCATTGGGCTGGAAGTAGGGGTGTGGCTCCTAAACCCTCGAACCTTTTTGAGGTATGGCCTGGCCCAGTACAATGAGCTCGTTCGCTGCACGGTGGCCTCTGCAGGTAACGACCACCGCCTGGGTGCTCAGGCGCTTCGGGAGATTGTTGTTGTGTATGTATACTACTATTCATATCATGATCAGTGTTATTATATATATATATATGGGCGTCCGCCTATTGCGGTTCCCCTTATTTTTTTAGGTTTACATAAATGTATATATTTTAACCCTAAACCATCGTTATAACCACAGCAACAAGTCGATGATGATGTAGGTACCCCAAACCTATAGGGTTAAGTTTGACAGGTTTAGGGCTTCAGATTCAGGCATTTAAACGTCAGCCCGCAATGAAACCTAAACCCTAACCGTTCAACCCGATAGAGTTAAGGTTAAGCGGTTAGGGTTTAAGATTTAGGTATTTTTAAACTTTAAACCTAAACCCATAGAGATTTAACCTTAAGGGTTGAAAGTTCGGGCAGTTAAACCTTAACCCTGAACCGTTTAGGGTCAGAACCCTAAAACCCGACAGGGCTCTACAAGGAACAAAGGTTTTGACCCTAAAGGGTGCTGAAGGTATACATGCCCAGACCTTAGGTTGTCGAACCATTGAACCCTATAGGGTTTAACGGTTTAGGTTTAAGGTTTAGGCATTACCTGTACGATAGAACCTTAAAGCCCTATAGGGCTTGGGGCTTAGATCCCTAAACCTTGAATCCCATAGGGCTATGCCTACGTTTGTAGGGCTTTCTTCCCGGTGACGCGAGAATACTGTGAGCAAATGTCCTTTTCACTACTTCCTGGGATTCAAAATATAAACAAACCATATCGTTATATGATAGAACTCAGGTTTTGCTTATCAGGGGATGGTTGCTTGAGCTATCTTAGGTAAGGTAAGGATTTTAGGATAGAGGTTTTGTTTTGCTTATTGGGGCGTGATGGGGTTACCCTCATTTTCTTATAGGCTATTTACATGTATATAAATCAAACCCTGAACCATAGTTATAACCGCAGCAAGAAGTTATAACCTTGTCATAAAGAAACTTCCGCAGAGCTCGTCAAATCCGATCATGATGTAGGCGCCCCAACCCTAGAGGGTCAAGGTTGACAGGTTTAGGGTTGAAGATTGAGGCATTTAAACCTAAGCCGGCAATTCAACCTAAACCCGAACCTTTAAACCCTATAGAGTTAAGGTTTAAGGGGTTGGGGTTTAGGATTTAGGCATTTAAAACGAAAACTCGAAAAGTTTCAATCTTAAGTGTTTGAAGTTCGGGCATTCAGACCTTAACTCTGATTCGTTTAGGGTCAGAACCGTAAAACCCTATAGGGCTCCCAAAGGTTCGAAGATTTTAACCCTAAAGGGTACTGAAGGTATACATGCCCAGACCTTAGGTTGTCGAACCATTGAACCCTATAGGGTTTAACGGTTTAGGTTTAAGGTTTGGGCATTAATTACCTATACAATGGAACCTTAAAACCCCAGAGCGCTTGGGGCTCAAATCCCCAAACCTTGAATCCCACAGGGTTATGCCTACGTTTGTAGCGCTTTCGTCCCGGTGACGCGAGAATACTGTGAGCAAATGTCCTGCCACTACTTCATGGGATTCAAAATATAAACAAAGAGGATAATTCAAGTTTTGCTTATCGGGGGATGGTTGCTGAGCTATCTTAGGTAAGGTAAAGATTTTAGGATAGAGTTTTTGTTTTGCTTGAGCTATCTTAGGTAAGGTAAAGATTTTAGGATAGAGGTTTTGTTTTGCTTTTTGGGGCGTGATGGGGTTACCGTTACCCTCATTTTCTTTTATAGGCTAATTTACATGTATATCAATCAAATCCTGAACCATAGTTATAACCGCAGCAAAAAGTTATAACCTTGTCATGTACATATATCCGCAGAGCTCGTCACTTTCACTACTTGCTGGGATTCAACATATACACAAACTATATCGTTAAATGATGGAATTCAGGAATTGCGTATCGGGGGATGGTTGCTTGAGATATTTTAGCTAAGGTAAAGTATTTGGGATATTTCGCTTGTTGGGGGCGTGATGGGGCTCCCCTTATTCTTATGGGTTTACGTAAGTGTATAAAAATCAAACCCTAACCCATAGTTATAACCACAGCAATAAGTTATAACCTTGTCATATAGAAATTTCCGCAGAGCTCGTCAAATCCGATCATGATGTAGGCGCCCCAACCCTAGAGGGTTAAGGTTGACAGGTTTAGGGTTTATGATTGAGGCACTTAAACCTAAGCCGGCAATTCAACCTAAACCCGAAGCTTTAAGCCCTATAGAGTTAAAGTTTAAGAATTAGGGTTTAAGGCGCAATCCCATATAGTATACGTATACTTCTGAGCAGAAAAGATACGGGAGACACTGCTTGCGATTCAGAATATTCGGAGCAGAAAGGATACAGGGGACACTGCTTGCGAATCAGAAGTTTATGAGCAGAAAAGATGCGGTCGAGGTACCTCGGCAGGAGCACCATTAAACCATCAAACCATTAAACCAATAAACCATTAAACCATTAAACCAATTGTTTCCCCCTTATGAAAATCCCCTAAACCATTAAACCATTAAACCATTAAACCAATGGTTTCCCCCATATGAAAATCCCTTAAACCATTAAGCCATTAAGCCATTAAGCCATTAAACCATTAAACCATTAAACCATTAAATAAACCATTAAACCAATGGTTGCCCGCCATGAAAATGGTTTAATGGTTTAGGGGATTCTCATATGGGGGAAACCATTGGTTTAATGGTTTAATGGTTTAATGGTTTAATGGTTTAGGGGATTTTCATAAGGGGGAAACCATTGGTTTAATGGTTTAATGGTTTAGGGGATTTTCAGAAGGGGGAAACCATTGGTTTAATGGTTTAATGGTTTAATGGTTTAATGGTTTAGGGGATTTTCATAAGGGGGAAACCATTGGTTTAATGGTTTAATGGTTTAATGGTTTAGGGGATTTTCAGAAGGTGGAAACCATTGGTTTAATGGTTTAATGGTATGGTTTAATGGTTTAATGGTTTAGGGGGAGACCATTGGTTTAATGGTTTGAGGGATTCTTGGTTAGATGGTTTAAGGGAATGTGCAAAAAAACACAGGGGAACCGCTATAGGCGGTGACCCATATATATAATTATACATATATATAGCTTCTGCAGTGCTTGAGGGTAAGTAGCCCTGATGAATCCCTGTATAAGGGTTAATCCCAAGGGCCTCCAAAGTCCAAAACCGCCGCCGTCCTGACTAAGCCCTGAACAAACCCTAGAGCCTCAAAGCCCCAAATGCGACGTTGGGCTTGAGGGTTGATCCTCTCTTACCCTCAATGACCCCAGACTCTGGCAGGAGGCACCGCCGGCCATCATCTCGCTCTACCCTGGCCAGGCCTCTTCCCGTTTTGCGTTCAGCACCGGCCTTTATACTGCTGTAATAGGAGTGTTCCCAAGATAGACGGGACCCCAATAATAGCTAGCAAGGGTCATCCCTCAGTTCATGACATACGCCCTCGCCTACACCCCGCCACAACTTTCACCCAAAACTTATACCATAACCCTAACCAAAGCAACCGCCCAAACCCATAATTAACCTTATCCATTCTATAACCCAAATCATAACCAATACCTAAACCCTGAACCTTAAAGAAAACGTCACAATACTGGCCCGAGTTTTGGAGGTTCTCATTATTGTGACGTTTTCTGGGATGCAGGGTTTAGGGGTTGGGGGGTTTAGGCTTGTCTGGGTCTAGGGTAGACAGGGTGAAAGGTTCATAGCGCCGGGGGGGGGGTCCAAGAAAAAAATTATATTTGTATATATATATATACATATTTTTTTTCACACCCCCCCCCCTCCTCCCCCCAGGTTAAGGCCTATCTACTCTCCCTAGTGCTTTATATAAATCTCTTCTCCTCACTCTGAGGCAGTGCTCAATGGTTCCATTCCCTGATGTAGATTCCCCCAAAAAACTGTCGGTTAGGTCAGTCTGGAGTTTCAGGGTAACATGTCTGGCAGTGTGATCATGCTGAGAACGTTCGCCTCCCCGTGGCCATTTTGGCTACAAGGAGGGACGATCGTCAGGGAATTTTTCTGCTGGGGCCTGGGACTGTTATAAAGGCCAGCTCAAAGCTCGAAGCCATGTCGAGGTTTCCCCCTGTTCAGTGCTCCGCGCGCTCTGGAACCTGGTCAGGAAGACGCGGGAGGCCACTACACCCCCGGCGAAGCAGATGTTCCCGGACAGCACGGCCAGCAACCTGCTCAGCCGCAACAGAACCCACGCGACTGGACTCGCAGATACGCGATCGCCAGCACCATCAACGCCAAGACCAAGGTCAGTGGCGGTTGACGTTTGCGTGACAATGCGCAGTCTTCCTACATTGGCAAAGCCAGAGACATGGTGACCGTGGTCACGTTTCGAATGTTAGCCATGCGCCCGCTCCTGCAGTCAGGACCTTGCGAGGAATGCTGGTGCACCCTTTCAGTTGCACGGCGTGTTTGCGCTAATGCGTGGAACCTCTTCACCTAGGTTTCCAGATGGCAGAGCTTTTGCCCCATGTACCCAAGTGGAGTTAAACAGGTGGATTTAAACAGGGCTGTGCTTGTGCTGACTGCTTTCAGATCCGAAGGTTGACGAAGGAGATGTCTTCCTTCTTGCCCGTGCTTCATCGAGAGGGCTTCCAAGACCGCTTCAGTGGTTCTGCTTAGACTTAGAAACAGTAAACTAACAACACGTCGCGTGGTGCCGTGTCAGGAAGAATGAGTGTAGCCTTGAAGCAGCCAGCTGATTCGCGAGCTGCGCAATCAACGCAACCGGATCGGGCGTGGCCGTTCCCCGAAGCGTCAGGGAAGCGTCGCAGTCCCACCTGGGTGTGCTTGACTATGTTGTTATTGAGTGGAACGCGTTGCGCAGTCATTTTTGTGCTACCGCATGGATTACTGTCAAGTAAAACGCACGAATTCTTCATCTGGGTTTCGGGGTGATGGGGGGGGGGAGGGAGGGGGAGGTTACGTCATGTTGCGTCCATTGTCTTGCGCGCAGTCCTTTCGGGCTCCAGACTCCCAAAAAACACCCCTGGAGAACATAAAGCCAGGCCTAGACCCTGAGCCGGAAACTAATCCCGACCTGTTGTGGTTTTCGCATTTTAAGGTTGAACGTGTAGGGTTCCGTCATTTCCTTGCCATTTCCTTGCCAGCCAACCGTTGAGTTGGCTCTCTCTGGCAGTCTCGCTGTATATCTTGCTCCGCGTGGCAGACGAGCCGTTGCTTCCGCTGGGCCTCACTGGCCTTCAGAAGTGCTGCGAATTCGAACTCACAGACCTCTCGGCTTGTTCCTGCTGAAAGACCACCTCCTACGAGAAACCCTACCCTTGGTCCTTTCTCCGAAAGCGTGAGCTGTCAAAATCATGCTGCGCTTGTGCAGAATATATAAACGGCAGAATAGTACATAGAGTATGCTGTACTAATACGGTATTATTCCCTGTGCTACATACATGTTAACCACCAACCCACCTAGACAGGCTCCAACAACGCTAACAATGCCAAAAACCAGCGTTTTTTCTGCTCGGGGCCTGATTTGGCCCAACTCGTAATGCGACGCCCGCGAATGTGCAAAAACCCGAGGTTTTTTACAATTCCGGAACAACGGAGCATGATTTTTTTACGTTGAAAAAGTATACAACAACCATCAAAAACGGACGTGTAATTCTACGACGGAAAACCATGCGGCGGGATGTTTGTGGCGGGTCATCGCCCCGGCATTCCGTTGCAACACTGCAAGACCTCGGGCTATTTCGGGCATTTGATGCACAGCTCTCTTTCGATCAGAAGCGGTCAGCGTCAGCTTCGCTGGTAGACAGGTGCCAAGTTTAGAATCATCGCATGCTCCGCGCAGCGTGGCTCAAGCTCTAGCTTAGCATTGCCGAAGCCCATTTTCTAGACCTCCGGAGGCGAGCAGTTAATGTCAAGCTCGAAACACCGTCGCAACATGTCCGCACCACTTCCACTGGTCAGGCCATGAACGCAAAAGCTGCAAAGAACCACAAGGCACGGTGGCCAATCTCAGCGACTTTCACGTCGGACCGCAGTTGCGAAGAACAGCGTGAGGCACCGCGACGCAGAGCTGCTTCCGTTTTACGTGGAGTCAGAGGGCATCGCGGACTACGATGAAGTCGAGGGTATGGCATATGTCGCGAAGGCGCAAGTTTCGGGGGCCTTTTGCTTTGCTGACTACAGATGAGGCTAAGAAAAGTCATATCGGTTTTGTAGCCGATGATTTTACTGATGCTACATTCCCGGAGGAATTGGACAACGTCGTTCATTATAACGAGGAAGGCATAAAACTACTGGCGTCTACTGGCGTATAATCAAACATCAGTTGTGTTATGGGGGGCTGTGAGAGAGTTTATGAAAGAAGTTGAAGTTCAAGATTCAACGAAGGAGGCGAAGAAGTTAAGAGGCGATGCCTCGCCGAAGGCAAAGGCGAAACTAAAAGCAAGAAGCCGAATACACGCAGTCTAATTAAAAAAGTCATGCCTTGAAGCCTTGACAAGAAATTTGATGAACAACTATTAAAGATGAAGTCGGAGCTTATAATATTTAACGTCATCCAAGATTGAGCGGAAAAGAAACACAAGTTAGAAGAGGAGTTAGAAAAGTTGAAGAGCAACAACAAATGTAGCAACAGTGGCAAGTTTATGCCATGTGTTTGTGCTCGTTTAGTGTGTTCTTAGTATCTGCCATGGACGATTTCTTTTAGCAGTACGGCGCTTAACTCTTCAACCGTGGTGTCTCTATCTCCTTGTAGTTTCTCAACCTGAAAAAGAGAAACTGACAACTATTTGCGCGAATGATAGGACGTAAGCGTCCGTTGTTTTTTCCTCTCACACACAACTGACTTAACAATGGCGAGTTTCTTGAAAGCACCTGACCATCAGCGAAGTCAGCAACCGTGATTAAGATTGAAAATATTTTTTTTACGGTCGCTGTTCTTCTGGTCTTCTATAACTTTATGTGGTCTTTTTATCACCTTGCCTCATTCTTCTGGTCTTTATTCAGATTTATTCATCAAATAGGCACTTTTCTTTCTCTGAATCAACTGGTGTCCATTTACTATCAACTGATATTGAATGGGGCCAGATACATATTCGTTCAAAGACACCCCGAAAAAACCTGATATCACAGATTGTAATAAGAGACCAATTCATGGTAGTCTTGTTTAACATCATGTTCTGGGTTTACGATTGGAATATCCGACATTTTTTTGACACGTAGAAAAATTACATCGTCATTAATGTGTGAAAGATTATGATGAGTATTTAGAGGTAACAGGTGGGATAGAGAAGATATCATAAATAACGTATAACAACTACTGAAAATGACAAAGTAGTTGTTGTTTTTGTTGAAGATAGGAGTCGTATTAACTTGCTGGTGAAGATAGGAATGTGTCACCTGATGATGGAGTATTTAAACCAGACGCCCCGCCGCAATTTGGAGGCGTTGAGTTTTTTTGTAGCACAGGATGGAGTGAAACTAGGATATTCACACTCGAAGAATGCGAAGAACGACTTGAGATAATGGTTGTGAACATGGAACAAATGAGATAAGATACTGCCCGAGTTGTAAGTTACGCGCATAATAGAACTACTCAAGGGCTTTAGCAAGAAGAAAGATTACGATAAATTATTAGATAGTATGAATAGATATAAGCAAAGCCAAGTCTTTGTAAGGCAACATTGTTTAAATTTAAAACGTTGTAATCTCAAACTTTTTAATAAGAGTAAGAGCGATGTAGATGATGAAGTAGTCAAACCAATCAAATGCATGTTCAGTCAAAAGGTTTTTAGAGAAGTTGGGAGTTAAAACTCATTGAAAACAGTTTGATGAGTTATTGCCTTAACCTAAACCAGTTAATAAACCAAGCGACAAAGATAGTGATGTTTATAAGACTAAGAGAAATGTTTATGTTAATTAACTCAACAGCTGTGAAATACAGGAATCTAAGCAGCAGACTTTGGGTTATTGCGTTGTCAAATCTTATGAAGACAACAGAGAGTAGGTTTAGTTTTTGTGTTTTGGAAAAGCCATTTTTGCAAAACACATTTCAAGATTTGAGAACTTACATTAATGGCATGATAAAGAACGAAGTTATGGACGCCTTAACTGGTGTGCCATGTTTTGAAAACAATTGTCACACGATGGTTTATGTAAGGGGCGGGAACGAGGACAATAGATATTTTTGAGAGGAGAGGAAGAAGCAGAAAACAAGAACCCAAAAGGATTAGCAACACTTGGTATAATAATGAATGGATAAGCATAAATAGCATTTTTATTTAATTTAAGTAAAGCCCTGTGCGGTCGTCATTTCCGAATTCAGGGTTATGGTCTTTGGGGGGTTCTCTATGAGGGGGACATGTCCGAGTTCGTTTGTATTATGGACAAGGTGATGGGTTTAGGTGGTTGCTTTGGTTTAGGGTTATGTGTTGGATCAGGCAGAAGGTTTAGGTGGTTGCTTTGGTTAGGGTTTGTGGTAAAAGTTTTGGGTGAAAGTGGGGGCGGGGTGTAGGCGAGGTCTGGGCGAGGGCGTATGACATGAACTGTGAAATGACCTTTGGTAGCTTTCATACCGAAAAACTGGAGCATGGCTCGAACTTCCGGCGCTCTGTCACCTGCTCTCTTTGAGGCTCATCTCTGAGCGTAGCAACTCAAGGCCGCAGGGCTGACAGCCCCAACTCAATTGTTCACGCACTTGGACAGCTTCGTTTGCTTACAGGTGGGCGGGGCCCTCAATCAAAACAATGTACGAACTCAAAGAAAAAGCAAGGGTGTTGTGGCGACAGTGTTCATGAGCACCATGTGAGTTCAGGATTCGTTTCGTCTTTCAGTGCCGCTGGCTTGCTTGCTTGGTTGCCCGCTGGGGTGGCTCACTTGCCGGCTGTTCTTCAGAGCCGGTGCGTGGTGGCGTGAGAAGCCACCAAAATCTTGCTTTATACACGAGCATGCAGCGCGTGGGGTTTGCAGAAAATGAACCTCTAAAAACCCCCGGAGTCCTCACTCTGAAGCGATCCCGGATTAAGCCGGCTGCCTGAGCAAACCTGCCACTCACAAGGACCTGACACCACCCTACAGTGTCCAAATCTGTCACACCATGGCCTGCCCGATACCCCTAAAGACAGAAAGTTGGCACATGGGGGTTTCCGACAAAATGGACTACCCTTATGGGCCCTTTAATGGGATTCTACAAAATGGGCCAGCGCCTGGAGTACTGGTGCGGGTTTTCTGTTTATTTTTTTGAGAAAACGCTTCAGGTCCTCGGTCTCTGCGGTGTGCCAAGCTCCCGAAGCTTGCCAAAGCGTGTCATCCCTTTCAAAGCACCTCCAGGGCTTCGAGAAGTACGTGGAGGAGATCGTGAAAGGGGCGGATCTGCTGGGCTACAAGGCACGGTCCTTCAAGGGCGCCAGGGGAGGTTTGGGAATCTGTTCAGAAAAGCTGGATACGTCACCATGTAGCTGCAGGCTTGAGGTTTGAGTGACAGCCTTGACGCGGGGGGTCTTCGATTGCAGCTAGTTCAACCAACTAGGGAACTATCTCTCGGATTCGGGAGGCAGAGAAGAAGAAGCAGCCGACGGGTGCGTCGCAGCCGATGGCGGTGGAGGCCAACGTGGAGGATCGTCTGCTCGCCGTTGCGCTTTGGTTTTGGGGGGGTTGGCGGGTGGGGGGTGGGGACTTAGAAGGCGTGGTGCCCCAATTATGCGCGGCAAGAGCAGCTGATAGAAGCTGGCTGGGCCCGCGGGGTCTAAGCTGAGGTTTCTTAGGTGCCGTGGGGTTTGAGGTTGGAAAAGCTTCAGCCAAGCCCGTTCTGTAGATATCCATGCAATAAGTTCCAGATGACGTGCCCGAGTTGGGATTCAGATTTTCAATGTGACCCAGAGGCCCAGAGACCCTAAAGCTGTACACCTTGCATACGACATCCGACAAGCCTTCCACCTACCAGGATCGGAATCGCACCGCCCCTTTCCCCTTCTGTGGAAACCGCCCCTCGGGCGACAAGAACAAAAGAGATGTTAAGATGTGCGCCGTTTGGGCAAGGGCTCATTGAATCTGCTGCTGGTGCTACTACTTCTACTACTTCTACTGCTACTACTACTACTACTACTACTACTACTACTCCTTCTCCTTCTCCTTCTCCTTCTCCTACTCCTTTACTCCGACTCCTTGACTTCTTCTCCTTTGCTCCTACTCCGTTCCTCTTCCTCCTCCTCCTCCTCCTCCTCCTCCTCCTGCTCCTGCTCCTGCTCCTGCTCCTGCTTATGCTCCTGCTCCTGCTCCTGCTCCTGCTCCTGCTCCTACCGCCATTACCGCTGCCTGCTCTACGACGACGATGTGGACGACAGCTGCTAAATTCCTTACTCGTTGTCGGCGTCGCAGTCCAGTCGTAGTCGCAGTAGTCAGTAGTGGTTGCGGTAGTAGGACTACTTTTAGTACAGCTAGTTCTGGAGCCGGTATCGCTACGACACGCGCAGCAGTACCACAGTGCCAGTACCACGATCACGAGCACGTCCACTTTCATGAGCCCTGACAGTCCTGACGAATTCAAGATGCCACCGTAGTTGCCCGGTAGCTTAGCAGAACCTCACAGACCAGAGCCGTCAGCCGTCTCAGAGATTGTGTGCTAAGCCTTTCAGGACTTGTCGCCCCTCACATGCCCGGCTAAGCCTTACAGCCGCTTTGATCGCTTAACCCCCCCCGCCCCCGCCCAAAAAAGAAAAGAACAAAACAATAAAGAAGCCAACAACCCCGAAAACTTCCAAGCCCCTGAGGCTTCGAGTTCCGTGCCGTGGGTTCGTCCCAGAACTGCTGCCTGCACCTGGGCACCCGTTTTGGTTGGGCTTACGGCGTAGGCTTCCTTTTTTTTTTGGGGGGGGGGGCGGGGGGGGAGGGGGTTGGTGCTGTATGGTGGTATGGTGGTGGTATCAGTGCGACTTCAGGGTTCCAGGAACAATGGTGTTCAGGGCCGCCGCAAGGCCCATCATGGTCTGCAATGCCATCATGGCAGCCGGCATGTCCCACATGGCCGACCTCATCGAAGGCGGCCTTAGCCACAGGGATGCGGTCGCCAAGATCTTCAAGGAGCTGTGCAATTTGTCTCTCTGGGCAAAGTTTGCAACGTGGAATATCCCTTGTAAGTCTCACAAATATCACAGATGTACGGCATCTACCCCGCAGACCAATGCCCAAACCCTGACTCTTAAAGCTCCTAAACCCCATCCACATTTGCACACCCTCGGGCATCCAGATCTGGGTTTGGCCTTTCAAGAAGCAAAGTCGAAAGCCCCTCCCTCCGCTGAATGAAAGCCTCTCAAGGAGAACAAGCACGTGATCTTCACGGGCAACGGCTACTCCGAGGAGTGGAAGACGGAAGCGGCCAAGCGAGGTCGGGCTTTCAGTCTGGTTCTCATGAAGCTTAGGACTTAGATTTCCGAGTGGCGCTTCTGGCTACTCCCAACTGCCTTTGTCGCCGACAGTCTGTTTCGATCGTTGCAGTCACTGGGGGGAAGAAGATGTAAAAGCCGCTGCCGCTTGTGCTTACTTGGGGGCAACGATCACGGATGTAACCTCATTATGTATTGAGGAGTACTTAGGCTCAGCGTTCCTTCGAATTTTTCATAGTTTCGCAACGAATTCGCAGCTCTTGGTAACTGTAAATCCATGCGTCCATTGGGGGAGGGGAATCCGCGGTGTGCATTGTGCCTTTGCTTGATCTCTCGGCCGACCACAGCTTACGCACTACTTACGCGGCCGCGCCGTGTGCTGCCAAAAGGTGGCTCGAAGACCAACGCTCGGCACGCGATTTTCGGATGTGGGTGGCTCGAAGATCAACGCGCGGGGCGCGATTGTCGGGTGTGTTTAGATGGTGTTAGACATGAATTCTCGCGCAGGTCGACGTACGCACAAGGATGCGGCGTTTCGCTGCGCTTAGATGGTGTTTGACGTGGTTTTCGCTCATGTCGAAGTATGCAAAAATGATGTCGTAGATACATCGTTTCGCTGCGTTTACATGGTGTTTGGCATGCTTTTTGTGCATGTGGAAGTTTGCCAAAACCATACTGTGAAACTTGTGGGTGGGACTTGCATTCTTTAGGGGAAAGGCTTTTTCCAGTTCATGGTGGATGGTATGTGTGCCATTTCGCGTTGCGTTTACTTGGGGAAAATTTTGGCTGGGACTATTTGGGGTCGTGGATGCACAGCGTTTCTTGGGGGGGAAGGCAGCCGGAGGCAAAGTGGATGGGACTGGGGCTGCCCGCTGTGTGCCATGGCTGGATGCCACTCTCCAATCTACGGTTGAAGGTTTCGGGCCCAGGAGGTTGGGTTTTCTGGCTTAGCACCCAGCAACAGCGAAAGAAAGATGCGCTGAAAATAAATCTTCGCGAACCGGGTGCTGCAGAACTTGCGAGTTCAGTCTGAAGCTAGCGCTGCCTGCAATCCAATCTGTCTCCACAAGCGCCGCAATGGACCCTAACGTGCTGCGGCCCCCATGGTCCCGAGGACCCCACCCATCCCCAACCCCTCTCCCCATGGGGCCCTGTCCCCGAGGAGGCCACAAACCATCCCAAACTTTGAATGAGCCCAATGCCTGGCAGGCCTGCCGAACCTGAACACGTCTCTCGGCCAAGCAGGCGTTGTGCTCGTGCGGTTCAACCTTGTTGTGGTGTCGGACCGACCCATTTAAGACTAACACACTTATGATACGTATGATCCCCATCTTCTAAATCCACCCAGTCAGAAAACCCTAAGATGCCTAACAGGCCCTCAGGCCCAGCTCTCCGCAACGCCTGGTCCCAGCTGTCCGAAGCCAAGGACGCCAAAGGCCCTGGCGACCTGGGCCAGCGACAAGAACAAGGCCCTCTTTGAGAAGATGCGCCCTGGGCTCTCTTGAGGTTTGAGTGGTCCTTCCTTGTTTTCTTGCCCAAGCCCTGCAATCCTGAAAGCTTGAGGTTGAACAGAGTTACAGTAGCCCATAACGAGGCTGTGTATACACACACGCACGCGCACGCGCACACGCGCGCGTGTACACGCGCACAGGCACACACGCACACGCGCACGCTCGCACACACGCGCAGACGCACACGCGCACACAGACGCACACCTGCGTGCAGACGCGGGCACGCTCGCGCTCACGCTCGCGCACACGCTCGTGTACGCACTTCCGCTTCCCAGTTTGATGGTGCTGGGCGCACCCTGATGTACAGCCCACCCTCACGACGAGTGCGCCGAAAGCCGTTAATTGCCACAGCCTCATAGTTTAATTGGGGTTCAGGGGTTAGCCTGGTTTAGGCTTTTTCTTCTTTTAGGGTTTCGAATGTCAGGGTTGAGGGCACGCCGACCCTTCTCTCTCACCCCCACCCTCCCGCTCCGGCAAAAAACAAACTTCGTTGGGCTGCCTTAGCGTAAAGCCCTGGAAGACTGAAGCCCAAGGAAGATCTACACCCAAGAGGAGACCTGTGCGCGACAGGAGGCCACGCTGTGTCGGATGGGTGTCTATGCTCCGAAACTTGTAGGTTTGCATAGGGATTGAGATCTACAGTAGATGGACATTTCCAAAGCAAGGGTACCCTTGAACAGGAGATGTGGGAGCTCAGCCCTTGAACTTGCCCCAAGATACTGTTCTCCTGACTCCTCGTGAGGGTACCCTTCATTTGGCATACCGCAACATGCTGTAATCCTTCTTCCCATTGAGGGTATCCCAAGTTCCGAATCACCCACATGACGGTTCTTTGTTTTTCTCGCTTGTTCTCACCAGCACAGTCACCAGCACAGGTCATGTATGAGAACTACATCACCTCCCTGAGCATCGAAGTTCAGACGATGATCCGTGGATGGTTTGGTTTGAGCGTTTGTCATGTATGGCTGACTTGTAGGATTTTCTTAGATTCTGAAGGCAGACCGGCCGAAGCAGCCGAGGATCCAGATGGTCGAGACGGCAATTTTGCCTGCCTGCGTGAAGGCCCCCGTAGAGATTCCCCAGCCAGAGATCTCCCATCATGTGTCTTTTATATTTATATATGCTAAGCAGCTAAGCGCCTTCAGGGACTTTCAGGAACGGAGCTCGGTCTTTTGAGGTTGGGGGATTCTGGCCGAAGTCTCGGGGCAAGAGTTCGTCTAAGGGCTTAAGCTTGGTCAGTCCTTCTGCTTTGCCGTCCCGCCACAGGCTGTCGGAGTCTTGAAGTTGCACCGGGTGCAGGGAATACTGGGTGTGGTACTGCCAAGAGTCCTTTCGGGCCAGCATGCACATGCCAGTGGGCCACTGGGCAGCGCTCACTGGGGGACACTGGCTGAGTCTTCCGTTGGAGCAAGCGGCGTTGGCAGGGGAGGTCTTCGCATGAGGCAGTCACGCCGAAGAAGTAGCCGAGGATCCGGATGTGCGAATGGTAGGGTACGCGAACTTCTCTATTGCTGTGTAGGGTTTGGACTCTGGCAGGACCTCAAGAGAACAGAGATCTTGCCGAACAAGAAGTACGCGCCTCCGCGAAAGGCAGCGCCGCTGGGCGCCAATTTCAGGGCCCTCAGGACGGATGTGTAAGCCTAGTCTCCAGGCAAGAGGGGCTGGGAATCACGCTGCCGCCTCCGAGGGGTGTGTGGAGTTTGTTCGTTTCGTGAAAAGTGCGGATGCCTTATTGGAGGGATGTCTGCTGCATACCTCCACCACCGCAATAAAACGACGTTGGGTTTCTGCGTAAAAACCCAAAGCCATTCAGCCATACCTCCTTCCCCTAAGCTGGGTTTCTGGCTTTGGGTTCAGGGCAGGAAGAGCCACACCCCAGGTATGAGGCGATTGCGGACGAGCTTGAGCAGCTTGGATTCAAACCTCTCTTCGGCCTTAGGCGGGACTATTGCGTTTGGCTACGACATCTTCATCGTAAGTTCTGCAGGACTTCAGGGACTCGTGAAGGACCTCAGCTTGATGAGAATTTATTAGGGTTTTGGCTTTCGGGGTCTGCGGGGGAAGTTTGGGATGTATGCCAGGAGCTTCAATTCAGGTTCACAAAAAGCGTGGCTTCCCCCGACTTCGAGCTGTTTGGGGAGCTCCAACCAACCTAAAGGCCCTAAACCCCACCTCGCCTAAGCCGCCGGTGCCCAGGAAGCTGAAGGTTACCTACGACAAGAGGCCACACGGTGCCCTGGACAAGGAGACCGCAGCCCGAAGCCCATGAAACCGTATCAGACGTGCTAGGCCCCCTACAAGGCCCCTGAACCCGGCTAAGGGAAGCGTATGCATGTCCGAGCCCCCCAATACCCTTTGACTGGAAGAAGCTTCAAGCGCGAGGAAGCCACGTACCTCTGCGACACAGTGAAGCCTCGCATGGTGGCCCTCAGACAGGCGAGGGCATTGTTAAGGGTCCATATCGGGTTCAAAGTCAAACCATTGGAGGTCCAGGGCTTCCCTTTGAGACGCAGTCGCGTGCTTGTGCTCAGACCCATGCTGATGGAGAGTTTACACAAGTAGGGCAAATATAGGCACAGGGTTTAGCCGTTCAGCCTCAAGAGCTCCCGGATCTGCACCGTCACGACGGGCCCTCTATAGGACTCGAAGGTTTCTTGAGCTCAGGCGGTGGACAAGGCCGAGACCCTCATGGAGAAAGGCCCGCCGTGAGTGGATGTCCTGGGAAGGTTTGGGGGGCCCCTTTGGAAATCTTCAGATGCTTCTGCTGTCCCATATGAGCCCAGCCAAGGCTGCTTTAGATGACCGGCCATTGCACGCAAGACTCGGTTCGGTCTTCGGGGGGGATACCCCATGCCCTATAGGCCCTTCCTCAGCCCCCCAAAAAAGGCTTGGCCACGAACCATCCTCAACTCCTGGACCTCAAAACCCAAAATGAGTCTAAATCACCCTGAACCTCTTACAACCCTCCCATGAAGCCTGTCAGGCAGCTATCCTTTCCCGACCTACGAAGCGCTCCTCTACTCCCACCATTTTGAGGAGAGCTTCGACAAGTAGTTAGTAGTGTGAGTAATGTGGGAACAGCGTTTTTGTTCAGTGATCATCGGGCCGATAGGCAAATCAAGGCTTCCAGCTTTGCAATCTCCAACGCAAGCCACCTTCAATCCCATGTCCTCAACCCTGAAACCAAGAGCCGACCTCAGAACTCGCAGTCTCTAGACTTCTAGATCCGTAGCAGCTCCTGGGATTTTGAAACAGTGCTCAGTACCAGCGCCGAAGGTGCGCTGGTCGAGAGCCAGCGTTAGACTCGACTAGGCCAACAGACTTCGTCGGCTCCGACGAAGGTCCAGAGCCTCTAAAACACTGCCATGAAATGCACCCGCAGCCTAAGTCCGAGTTTCTTCCACAAAGTCAGCTGTTAGTCCGTAACCCCCGCGTTCAACCACCAGCACCTAGGGTTGTTCAGCGATCCCTCAAACGCGTGGAACCCTACAGAAGAGACTGGTCTTGGATCTTCCTCCTTGAAGCATCACTGCCCCCCCCAACCCCCACACCGCCTGAACACTAAACCCTGACTCAGACATGGAGTGTTTGATTTCCTCCTGTGGGCGTGGCCTAGACTACATGCAGGATGAGGGTGGAGCTTGATTCCTGTACAAAGTGAACGCCGGAACTCCCAGGGCCCCTCCAGCCCCTCAGTGCTTACTGGAGCCAGGTAGAAATAAGTTACCAGTTGCCTTGAGCATCGTGGTTTTTCGGGGCTTGGGGGCATGTGTAGGGAAACTGCGGATGTGTAGGCGCCGTTTATACGTGGGCTCCTGGGCTCCGGCTACAGGTCTTGATTTTCCCCGATACGCGAAATTTTTGAGTCCGGACTTGCCTAGAGTCTCCAATCCTTGGGCCTCCAAACCGAAACCCCTCAAACATACCCCCCACCCCCAACCCCGAAAACAGAACCATCATATCCCACCAACCCTAAGCCCGAAGCCTTGAGCCCGTCTCATGGACCTGCAAGTCCAGCTGGGCGGAATCAAGTGGAGCTTGATTTGGGCTGGATGATGCCTCCGACCGATCAGTTTAGCCGCCCATTACCCGGTGGCGTATGCCGCATGTCGCAGAAGAAAAGAGGGACTCCACGAGGACCATGGGCTTCAATGCTCTTGTCCTCACCTCTCCAAGCCCTGACGTGCTTTTTCCGGCTGTGACTTCGCTCGCTTTTGGTGTACTGTAAGGCTCGGAATTCGGCCTCTTTCGACAGCCAGCAAGTTCCATGCTCTTGAGTTCTGAGTCTGCAGTGCAATGAAAGCACCCGCCTCCTTCTACCGGCACTGTCTTGGCATCCCTGGTTTGCCCTTCGCTGGCTGCTGTTGCTGATGTTTGCGTTATTCAAAAAATGTCTTGAGTGAGTCGTTTCTGAGTCGCTGTGCATGTCACATCGCATATATTCTATAGGAGCATCGCCACGCATCTTGTGAGTAGGCTCTTGAGTGTGGTGTGTGCCCATGTATCCCCTCTCTCTTCCCTCCCCTCCCCCCTCTCCCACACCAATTCTCTCGGCCTTGGCTGTGCTCCCCCTCGCTCGCACTCGCCGAGGCCGTCTCAGCCATGGGAGACGGAACGCTGGCAGCTAAGGGAAGTTTGAGCGTTTCTGGGTTTTGGGCTCTGCCTGAGAGGCCTGCAGCTTGCCGTAGAATACCCGAAGCACACCTAAGTCCCGCAGGTGTGTCGAAGGTTGGGAGTTTTCTCCCAAATCTGGGTCATTGTTGAAAGTCGTTTTACATGTTTTATGAGTACTTAAACCCAATAAGGAACAAAAATGGTCGTTTTTAATGGTACCCCCAACCTGGTGCAGAAATCCCAAGCTCAAAGCCCTCAGAACCTAAGCCCCAGCGTAAAAGCTAGAACCTAAGTTTCAGCGTAAGAGCTCGTATAAGCCGTTAACTGTCCTAGGCCCGCCATGGGCAAGCGCCACAAGAAGACCCACGGCCGGATGCCCATTCTTCGTGAGAGACCTTTCCGCCAAAAGAATGACAGAGGGAGGGAGAGAGAGAGAGAGAGAGAGAGTGAGTGAGAAAGAGAAAAGAAAGAAAGAAAGAAGGAAGGAAAGAAAGAAAGAGAGAAAGTGAGAAAGTGAGAAAGAGATGTATATAGCTATATAACAGATATTTCAGATTGCACCGCCATGAAAAAGCCACACGTTTCGCAGTAAGTCGGCAGCCCAATGTCGGACTAGACGTGCAATACTGCTGATTCTGCTGATGCTCGACCGACTCGGCGGCTCTTGCTTGCTGCATTCGAAGCTTTGCCAGGATAGTTGACGGCTTCAGGTTCGGGCATTGCTTACTCATTCGCGTGCCCCTTCTTGTCTCAGTACCTGTCTGATCCGAATCTTCGTGGTCTTCCGCCGGGCCGGCAAAAACACAGTCTTCCTGCGCTGACTTTCAGCAAGTTGTAACACAGCAGGGGCCACCCTCCAATATCTTCTAACACGACAAGTTCGCACGCTTCGCTTCTGGCCGATACGACGAAGGAAAAGTTCTGGCCTGCGGAGTAGTGTGGGAAGTGATGACCCGGGCTTGGCGAAGAGAATGTCGGGTGTCTGCCTGAATACAGCCCCAAAATTCTAGAAACCCCCCGGGCTGGCCCTTTGGCTTCGGGAGTCTGCAGCCTCTGCAGCCTCCAGCTCCAAAAGCGCGCACAGAGTTTCATGTCCTCAACGAGACAGGTGTTGGCTTGAGAGTGGTGAGCTACGGTTCTGGGCTTCGCCCTGCCACCGCCCCAGCTGAGGCCTCTGCCCGCGCTGTGGCAAGCGCTCCTACCACCTGCCTGGGCCTGAAACCTCCCAGAACCTTGCAAGGGGTTGAGGCATTGGGGGTTCTTTTGGCCCGAGAAGCCCCTGGAGCCTTTAAACCCTAGACCCTATAGAGCGCATCAGCAACAGCAGAGGCTTCCGGGCCTTGGATTCAGGGATGCTTCGGTTGCACGGGGCTGAACCTCACACAGCCGCCCGCTGCAATGGCCAAGAAGATTAGGTGTTTCAGATTTTGGGGCCGCCGAGGCAGAACAAGAAGTGCGCTGCCTGTGGGCGCTGGCCCCAGAGAAAGGTTCCAGGAATTCGGGGCATGCTGTGGGGCATGTGGATTGTTTTCTCAAGCGTTGCATGGCCTTGCTCGGAGATGTGTGGGCCGGGCTGCCCATAGCCATAGTAGCCATAGTATGAGGCATCATGTGTTTCCGAGAGGGGGCCCTTCTTAAAGCGTCATTGTGTGCTAAGAGGTCCGCTCATTCTTCACAGAAGGAATGCCCCCAAAAGGGTGCCCGAAATTTGGAAATTTGGGACCCCATGCAGGTCACCGAACTGTCGAGTTTCAGGGGGGGGGCTTGTGAGTCACCCAAACCCTGAACCCCAAACCAACCCCCCCCCTCCCCCCGCTCCCCCCAGGTAAGTAAGTCATCCAACTTTGCCAAGGTACCCGGCAGCCAAGATCCGCTCCTACGAATGGTCCAAGAAGGATGGAGCTGACTCCCCAAGCACCCCCCTAGCTTTTGAGGTTCTAAGGGGCTGCATTTCGAGGTTCCTGAGTGACCAGGAACAACAACTCGCATCAAAAAACCCCTACAGAGAAAGGAGAGTCCGCCCTTGATGGGTTACAAAAGCATAAAGAAGCCCTATGTGATGCTCCCCGGTGCTCTCCCATGCGCCAGTCCAAGCGCAGACGCGCCCCGGGCACCGGCCGCATGCGCTACGCCCGGGAGCCCGGAGGGGCTCCGTCTCAAGGAGAACCAACTCATGATATCAATATGAAAACAGTGCATGCATTTCGAGTTGGGGCATCTTCTACAATAGGGGGACATATTGACACGTTGTCTTGGTTTTCGGGCGAGAGTGCTTGGCGAATGGTACGCGGCTCTGACGGTTGGCTCGTTTTTCAGACTGGCGAAGCTCGCGTCTTGCAGATCGTGGGAGCTTTGTGTCCGTTTGTTGGGGTGCTGTTGAGCAAGTTTGCAGCGTGGTCCTCGGCGCAAGGATTCGAGGCTTTCAGAGCCAGTAAGTGCTCATTGGATATTTCTGGGCCAGAGCTTCCTAAATTTGTGCACGTTTACTTTTGTAGCCCTTTCCCCCCGTTAAAGGCAAACAGAGGGCTTGGCTTCCTTCAGGCCCCGTGGTCCAATGAGCCCTGCGAAAGACCGCAGGTCAAGCACATTGCTCGGCGTTTCAAGAATGGGTGTTGTCCCCAGAGAGACATGGAAGCTAGAGTAGGTTGTCGGGAATTTTGGTGCATTACAGCAGGGCTTTTGGGGCCGTCAGGTTCTAGCTGGGGACATGTTGGACTCCAGCAAGGCCTAAACCATGATGCCGAATGGAGCTGGACGTAGCTACTGAAACCCTGAAGCAATGAAACGTTAGCTCGAAGGTCGGTCGAACCAAGAGCAATTGCATCTCAACGGAGTTTTTGTTTTTGTTTTTGTGGCTTCGCTGCTCAACCTAGCCGGAGCTCAAGGGTTTTTCTGAAGCAGAGGCTTAGGGTTTGGGGAGTGGTTCTTCTCATGTCCTTTCCAATGGTGACCGGGCAAACATTCCAGTATCCTAAACATAACAGGGATGTGCGTGATGTCTGTGGGATTAGGTTCGTTTCTTTGGGGATGTTGAGGGCTTGTGCTTTGGGGTTTGACGTGATCCATGGCCTGGCATTGAAGACTTTTGAAGGTTGTGGGATTTTGGCTGGTTGCCTTCGTTGCAGCAGGGCTTGCGGTTTCCTCATAAGGGTTGGTAGCGTTATGGCAGCGTGCTGCTGCGCCCGACCTGGACACCAGGTTGGCCAGTAGTAGAATGAAGGAACAAACCCAAAACAGGCCAGGGCCAGGCGTTTGAGATTTGGGTCCCTTCGATGTCTTTTGTAGATTCGGAATCCTACTTCTGAAAGTGCAGCCTTAGCCCCTTGAGATTTGTTCAGCAACCTCTTCAAGCCCAGAAGAAGACTTGTGGGACGGGGAGGTTCCGCGAAGGCGGCGCGGCGCCTCCGAAGAAGAAGGCGCTTGCTGGGGGGGGCGGAGGT